ACTAGTCATGCCCTCCATATAAGAATATTTCAAAAGCTAAAATTATGAAAAACAAAAGATTGAAAACACCAAATTTGTTTCCTTCTTTCTTTTCACAAAAATACTAAAATTTCCCTTCTTCTTTCTCCTTCCACACATTAGAAAAACTCAATTTTCCCTCCTCTTTCTCTTTCATAAAATTGAAAGAAACAAATTACCCTCTTCTTTCCTTCTACAAAAAGTTGAAAAATCAAAAGTTTCCCTCCTTATTTCTCTTTCATAATCAAAAGAATCAAACTTTCTCACTTCTTTCTCTTTCCACATATCAAAGCCACCAAAATTCCCACTTATTTCTTTTCTAAAGAATTCAAAGAACCAAATTTCCCTCTTCTTTCTCTTCCCAAAAACTTGAATACACCAAAATTTCCCTTTTCTTTTAAAAACATCAAATTACCAAATACATTACTTTACTTTATTTATATTTAATTGATAATTTTATTGAATAGTTAAATTAACCAAAATTTTAATTTATATATTATATTAATATTGTCATGATCTCAAGTAACCTTCATGTTTCAATTTTTGTAATTTTCTTAAAATACGTAATATCAAGTGAGTTTCATATTTTTAAAATTTCTTATACGAAATGAAAAAATAATTTTACTTAAGTTAAGAATGAAAAACTTTATTTTGAAAAACTATGTATTGTATATTTTTATAATTATTCAAGTGGATTAGATGAAATTCGGGTTGAGTCGGTCGGGTTACGGGTTAGTCCGGTTCGGGTCAATCAGGTTCGGGTTAATCGGGTTGCGGGTCAGTCGGTTGCGGGTCAATCGGGTTCGGGTTAATCGGATTGCGGGTTAGTCGGGTTGCGGGTTAGTCGGTTGCGGGTCAGGCGGGTTACGGGTTGTTGACTTTTAGTCAATTCGGGTTGCGGTCGGGTTGCGGGTCGGGTTGATCGGGCGGGTTAATCGGGTCGGGCTATGTTTTGACACCTATAATTGCAAGGGGTGTGCCATTGCTGCTGCATGGTTGTCACGCCGGTGGCATGCCACCCGGTTGAACCTGGTTCAACCAGTGCCGGTCATGAAACCGGTATGACACCACCGGTATGACCGGTATGATCGACTTACGGATTCTAAGTAAAATGACATCATTTTAATGAGTTTGAGGAATAAAAAAATTAATTTATTATTCATTTTATGAATATAATAGTTAAAAGTTGATGATATTTGTTGGATTGTAACTAAATTGTCCACAAATATGTTTTATATATGATTAAATACATGAGATATTAATTGTTTTCACATTTTTTTAAACCGGCATGAACCGGCACAAACTGGTTATACCACCGGTCGTACCATTCCATTTTCCAAACCGGCACAACGGTATAAACCGGTTTAACAACCTAGTCCTACATTATTCGTATTTTCTCTGCCTCCAAAATCATCACACCCCTCATCCAAATTCCTGCCACCAGCGTCCTTTCTCAACCCCGCAACTCCCACCCCACCCCCTGTAACCAATGTAGTCAAAATCGCGCTTTTAAATTTAGTTTAATACACTTGTATATCCAAAACTTTCACGGTTGTGCCAATAATATCCAAATTTCCCGAAATACCACTTATAGCCATGCTTTAAAGTTGTTCTTTGCCAAATCTATCCATTTCCGTTAAATACTTTGACGACGTTAATAACTCCGTAAACATAGCTGACGACAAGCTGACTGGGCACTAACTAAGCAGACACGTAAGCGCCAACTATGTCAAAGGTGACACTTAAGAAATTAAAAATAATTTTAAAATAATTTAAAATAATTTCCCCCATCCCATCCCATATCTTCGATGTCCCCAATTCTCCGCCAATTTCGATTTCCCGACGTCCTGTGCCGATTGCGAACTGCTCTGGTTAACAACGAGCTGGGCCGACGGCGGCGGTGGAATCATTCTCTCCAAGCAAATCGACTTCAAAGTCTGCAGGGGATCCAAATCTCGCGGCAACTCTGCTTCTCCCCTAGGTTGTTCCCTGCTCTGCTACTCTCTTCGTTACCCAGCGCTCACCCAGTATCAGCTCCGTAACCTTCTCTTCCTCTTCCCACCTTCATCTCCTCTTCTTTGAAAATCTCGAATTCACAAACCCATTCAAACAAAAAAAAATCCCCAATTCAAAACTTCCCCCTGTCGCTGACTATGCCTTGTTGTTTCAGAAGCACTTCAGAAGAGGAGCATGTGGCAAAATTTGATCTGGGTACAGATCCAACTACAAAGATTTTGAGGACGGCAACGAGACCTAGAAACAGTAGTTACCCCTCGTACTTTTCTCTTCCTTTAATTGAGACCAAATTTGCCACCGAATTTGCGACTTGTCGATGACGTCGATGTCCTGTATAGGCTATAATCGGAGGGCGGTGGAAAGGTCTAGCGGAGACGATTTTGGAGGCGGTTGCATGAGGAGAGGGTTTGAGAGTTGCTGGAGGCGAAGAGTGTTTCGGAGTAAGGGGGATTTGGGCGGCGGCGGATTCTTTTCGTCTTCCCAAAACCCTAACCTCATCTCATCCTTATCCAAACGAGCCATATTGAGTAACCCCTCATCTACAGGGAGAAGCGGAGAATGAAGCCCGCAATGGCGATACTAAACGGCAGACGGGAACAGAAGTGGGCGACGCAAGATCTGATTTGGGGATAAGTTTTTGTCTTGGTAAATTTTGGTCGGAGTTGGAAGGATCCGACGAACATGCTTTGAAGGCGAAGAGATGGGTGATGGGAAGAGATAAGACAGAGCAGTTGGGCTTTTAACTTTTTTTTTCATTTCATAAATCCACATGTATATTTACAAACAAAATTGAAGATAAGAGTTTGCCACATCAGCATCTCCGTTTGCCCAGTCACACTTAACGTTAACAGCGTTAAAGAATTGGACGGAAGTGGATATAAGTGGCATTTCGGGAAATTTGGATATTATTGGCACAACCGTGAAAGTTTTGGATATACAAGTGTATTAAACCTTTAAATTTTTAAGTCACCAAAACGCTTCTACGCAAAATCGTAGTTTTTATAGCTAATGTAGTTAAAAACGCGCTTTAAATCTTAAAAACTTACGATTTTACGTTTCTAGATCACCAAAATATTTTTACGTAAACACGCGCTCTTGACTATATTGTCTGTGACTATGTTGTCGTCGAAGCTAGTATCCTTCATCCTCCTATTTAATTTGTTGCCACTTTCAATTATGGTTTAATACACTTGTATAGTGAAGTTTGCATGCTTCATCATTCTCTTACGGTTTCCTCTTCTCATTTGCCCCCCTCAAAAGCAGGAGGAAGGCAGTAAATGCTTGTTTAAAAGTCCATTAATTTAGTTTATATGTTTGTATGAGTGATATTTAATATTTGAGCAAATTCACTTATTTGTTTATGAATTTGTTGTTGCATATCTTTTCTATCCACGGCTATGAATTGTAATGTTTCCATTCATTGGGATTTGAAAAAATATGCAAAACCAAATTGTTAAGGAAAAAAAAAGAGATTATAACCTATGCTTTTCAAGTCCGGAAGCTATTAACTTTAAATTTCAATCATAATGTCATCCGAATTTAGTTCAATTTTAGTAGACATGATTCATTATATGTTGGTCTCTTGACATGTTTTAGCCTATTTATCTAGTGTAGCCTGTAGGGTAACCCGCGATCGACAAAGCGAGACTTTATCAGCTTTATCCTAGCTCCTTCCTCCCGCCGCCCAGAGAGCCAATATCTGATATTATTTCTCTCGTCGTCGGCAGTAATGGAATTGCCGGAGGAGTTAATAGAGAAGATATCGACGGATCACTTGGATTGGATATCTATTCCCAGCTCCACGCCTTCTCTCGTGTCTGCAAATTATGGAGATCCATCGCCCTCCGCCTCGATCCACAGCCGCCGCCGATCGTGCCTTCCGGGATTGCTCGTACCCAAACACATCGAATCGCCCCTTACGCGGTATGTCACCTCCATTAGGAATGACAATGGGTCAGGTTATGTCAACTTTCTTTACAAACCAAAACCAACTTAACGGGTGCCTTGATTAAACCATACCCAACCCAACCAAGCCAAGGGGTACCCGTGGGTTCACAAATATAACAATACTTTATTTCTTCGAACACATCCACATTGTAATTTTATTGAAATTTTCACTATAAATATCTCGATCCATAAATTATCTATACTATTAGGTTTATATTACTATAAAGACTAATAATATTTATAAATTATCCTTATTATTTCTGCTTTATAGGTGTGAATCAGGTGGAAAGCGGGTTGGGTTTAGGGAAACCCAACCAACCAATTTCAGTGGCGAGTAAAACTCGCACTCCACCTAAATACGTCAACACTTAATTTTACGTACTTTGACCGGATTGATTCGGATTGGATACAAACAGGTTTCGCTGTTTCCGTTATCATACCTTGTCGCCATGTTGTTGTTGACGAAACCCTAATTTTTCGTATGCTTTTTTCTTTCCCCCAAACTCGGAGCGGTCTTTTATATCTCTCAGCGTAGAGATCTAGCGTGATATATATATATATATGGTGACTACTTCGGCGCACTCACAAAAATGAGTGCGTTCAATGCACCCAACTCAAAAACTAGTCTTAAGGAGTCGGATTTTGAATTTTAATTTGTAGAATTAGTATAATATGATGATATAACATATGATAACAACTAATTAGCGGATTACCCTAAGCCCTAGAACTCCAATTTTGAGTTCTATCCCTAAACCCCATACTGTAAACCCTAACCCTAACCCTAGATCTTTAAACTCTAAATCTTTCAAATTAAAGCAAATCTTTCATGGTTTTTGTGCAAATTCATGTGCGTTATTGTTCATCACATCATAAGTGATGATTGACATCATTTTGACACAAATCTCATGTTTAAAATGACGATTATGAAGCGAGTGCACTGAATGCACCCAAAAAAGTGAGTGCACCGAAGACGCCACCATATATATATATATATATATCCCATTAACCCTAGCTGGCTAGTTAAAATTAAAATCGTTGATTTCCTGTGCCTGGCTATATACCTCCTGCCGCCGCGGAGAGAGCCAATCCCATCATATCTCGCCGGCCGTAATGGATTACTCTGAATTGCCGGAGGAGTTGATAGAGAAGATAGCGAGGGACCACTTGCATGCCTATCCCCAGCTCCTGGCTTTCTCCAAGGTCTGCAGATCATGGAGATCCACCGCCCTCCGGCTCCACAGCCGCCGCCGACCATGCCTTCCGGGATTGCTCGTACCCAAACAAATCGAATCGCAAAACCCACTCGCGGCGTACTACAACGGAGACTTCATCCACGAGTTCTACCCCCTCGCCTCCATCACCTCCCCCGCCACCGCTCTCCCACGCGCCGCTCTCCCTTTCTTCCCTGTTCCGAACAAGGTATCGGATGCCTTTGGTCAGCGCAACCACTACCGCCACCTCCACCACAATGCAGTCGACAAATTACTAGACGCCGCTTTCCAACCTAATCAAGATGATGACGCCGACGCCGACGCCGATGAAGACGAACACCTATCCCCCTTCTGGTTCGACGACGAGTACTCCTTCGACGACACATCTGCTCGCAGCTTGGGTTCCAAAGACGGCTGGATCCTCCGCTCCCGACCGGACGATTACGACGGCCGGCCGTTGGAACTATACCTGCTAAACCCATTCACCGGCGCATCCGTCCCTCTCCCTCCGCTTCCAACCTACTCCGTACGACACATCTCGAAAGCCATCATCTCCTCTTCCCCTGACGACGACGACCAAGACTGCCACGTCTTCATCTTGCCTCGTTGGGGTATGGGAGTAGAGTGGTGCAAGGTAGGAGGAGGAGGACAAGCTGGTTGGGGATTCATCGATGGCCGCGACCACGAGAATTCTGGTATGTCATCTTACCCGCCAAGAGCAATTGTAGTCAAAAATCGCGCTTTAAAACTTAAAAACTTACGATTTTTACGCTGCTTCTAGATAATCAAAACGTTTCTAACGTACAAACTTGCTTCTAGATCATCAAAACGTTTCTAACGTACAAACTCGCTTTTGACTACATTGCGCGCTGCAGAAGGAGGACAAGCTGGTTGGGGATTCATCGTCGATGGCCACCACGAGAATAATTTTGGTTGGGCCTCTTCTTACCCGGTAGATGCAGTTTACTTTGGCGGCAACCTATACGTCGTCGGGAACCGCGGCCGTGTCCTCGTCTTTGATATAACGTCCGGTAGTGCTCCTCCTTCACTCACGAAATCAATCCCGTTCTCTAAAGCCATGTACAACGACGAGGAGGAGGAGGAGAGGATGACGTGGAGGTTTTGCCGCGTGTGTGAACTCAACGGCCAGCTCCTCGTCATCATCCTAAGCAGAGACCAAGACCAGTCGGGATCCATGGTTTCACGGGTCTTCAAGCTACACAGCAACGGCGACGACACTACTAGTTACTATTGGGAAGAAGAAGTAAAGAGCTTGGATGGACACGGTGTGTTCATAGGGCCGCACGAGTCTTTCTCGATCCCGGCTGCTACTGCCGGCGGCGGCGGGGTGAAAGGCGACCATATCTACATGACGTTAGATTATACCCGCCCGGGGCCGTGCTGGTTGAGGGGCCAGAATTGGGATGGCGTGTTCGATCTTGCAAATCACAAGTTGGAGAGCTTAGCTTTGCGTCGCCGGGACGATATACACCGCGATACGTTACCCTCTTTCTGGTTCCTTCCTGTGACCTGGTAATTAATTTAACTGGACTTCTTGTTAGATTATCATTCTCTCTTGGTGTATTATGTATGTATATATATATTCTTCCTGCAGGGATATTTCTAAGCTACACGACAAACATCATATGGAGGAGAAGAAGGCATGGAAACGGGAGCGCCTACTTCCCGGATCAGAGTGCTGGAAGCTGCCCAAGAGAGCCGTCAGGAACCCGAAACATCCTGCTCATCATAATAATATTACCCGCACCAACAGATTTCGAGCTTTGCTATCCGACGACGAGGAGGATGATGATGATGAGGAAGATTAGAAGGAGAGAGGGCAAGAGAAAGGATGGTAAAAAGACAACAAAACGGTAGTAAGAGGGTTTTGAAGAAAGCAGATATTTAGTCTTTTGGCGACTATTTTGTTGCTTTCTGGCATAAGCTAGCTGCCAGAAAAAAACAGTTTTTGAAGTAAATTCGAACCTTTTGTTTGAAACCTTCCATATATACAATATTTCATTTAATGACTTGTTTTTGTATACAAATATACATATTTTCATTTGGTAGAGGCGTCTGGACTCGACTCTTATCCATGCTTCTCGAATTGAGCTACAAAGTAGGCTTTACAAACACGTTCCCCGATTTGGCCATTTTCAGGCAGTTTCCCAGTTTTTGGCATAGCTTTTTGATAAGGTTCATAATTGGTCTTCTAGACTTCCTTACGAGCTCCCAAGCACTTCTATGTGTGGAGGGACACTCCAGCTTTAAAACAAGCTATTAATATCAAGTTTTTATTGAGCCAATTGTAAGATATGAATCTCCAAAGTAGGCACCATGAAACTATTTTTACACTGAAACAACATATTAGGTCGACCTAATTCTAACCGAGGTCGACCGAAAAAGTGCAAGTTACAGTGACATGCAAGTCACCGTAGCAAAGTCGAATATGTTATTCGCTTAATATTGTACACAAGAAAAAGTATTACATGAATCATAGCTATATTAAACGGGTGGGTTAGGTCGGGTTACTGGTGTTTTTGTTCACCCCTAGTCTCCGTCCAACTTCATAAATGGAATTCGTTATTTGCTTACGTGGCAAACGAAATTGTCTAATCAGCACAATTTAACTAAAAAATTATTAAACCCGACCCATCACATCACTCGAGACCAGGCCCTTATTCGTCCTACTTTTCTTTCTTATCCCTCTACAAAAGATGATCACTGAATAATAAATAAAAAATAAAAATTTCAATCTCAGCCATCCATGGTTTTATAGGACAATCTCAACCCAACCTTTTTTTTTATTGCAAATTCCAAACCTCCTCCATCACAATTTATTAGAAATAGGGTAGTGTAGTTGATTAGCGAACGAAGGTGAGAACAAACCACGGGAGAAGATCAACTCAATCGGAAGTCGGAACCCTAGCTAGCCAATAAAATAATTAGTTCGCTCTGTCACGCCTCCGGCAGCCGCCGCAGAGAGGGTTAGCTAATGTTATCTTCGTCGACGACGAAGAACGTACGGGACCGGGACCTCAATGGATTACTCTCAATTGGCGGAGGACATAGTGGAGAAGATCGTCAAGGAGCACTTCGAGACCTTTCCCCAGCTCGTCGCCTTCTCCCGCGCCTGCACGTCATGGAGATCCACCGCCCTCCGTCTCCACGGCGGCCGGCTACGCTGCCTGCCGTGGTTGGTCGTATCGAAAGCCACCACCGCACCCCAACCGCCACTCGAGGCGTACTATGACAGCGGCCAAACCCATCAGTTTTATCCCCTAGTCACGCTCTTCCCTGCCAAACCACAACTGCAGCCGTGGTCATGGCCACCGCCACCGCCGCCGATCCCACGCGCCATCCCTTTCGTACCAGATCCATCCAAGATCTCAGACGCCCAAGGCCAGCGCCACCGCTACCTCCGCCTCCTCGACGATCTGCTCACCTCCTTCCACGAGGACGAATTAGTCGCCTCCTTCGATCCCCACTCCGACGACGACGACGACTATAACAATCTCAATTACGCATACCGGAAAGATGCTGCTCAGTCCTTGGGTTCCAAGGATGGCTGGATCCTCCGCACTGTTACGCATACTCGGGCTCGGGCTCTCGAACTCTACCTCCTGAACCCAATCACAGGCGCTTCCATCCCTCTGCCTCCTCTCCAACATTCATCCCCCACCCTCATCTGCAAAGCCATCATCTCTTCTTCCCCTGACGACGACGACGGCGAAGAGTGCCACGTCATCATTCTGTCCACGTCGGATCCCCAGCTCGCGTGGTGCAACGTCTCCTCCGGGAGTGAACAATGTTGGAACTTGAGCAGCAGCAACAAGGATTCCCACATCTTCGAATCCCCACACGACGCCATCTGTTTTGGAGGTAACCTCTACGTCGTAGACTGTCGCCGCATCTACGTCGTCGATTATCGCAGGCTCGGCTCTTCTGATTCTGCTGCTTCGCCTGTCGTTAGAGCATTCTCATTCTCCGAAACTATGATATCATGTTGTAGCGACGACTCTGACTCTTACTACAACTACGACTTCGACCGTGACCGTGAAAGAATGGCTTGTTATCACTTGTTCCAACTCGACGGAGAGCTCCACGTAGTCTGCCGCGAAAATTACCACCAGGTGTACAAGCTGGTGGTAGTCACGCCGGCTGCTAATGAAGGCGGTAGCAGCAGCAGTAGCAGTAAGTATTACTGGGAAGAGGTGAGGAGTTTGAATGGGCGCGCTGTGTTTATCGGCGGCCATCAATCGTTTTGCCTCCCCGCCGCCGCCGCCTCTACCACCGTGGTAGGTAATGGGGCGGATAGAGGCAACAATATTTACTTTGCCTTGGGCTGTGGTAGAACGCGGCGACAGCGCCGATCTGGATGCGGTGGTTGGAACGGCGTCTTCCATCTTGCTAATCGGATGTTCGAAAGCAGTGATCTTCAGTGCTGTACTAGTGACGAAAAGAGTTGCTCCTCTTCCTCTTTTTGGTTCCTCCCCATGCCTTGGTAATCAAAGCTAGCATTGCCTCTTTCTCTATGTTGCTGTTACTGTACTAAACTATCATCTGTATATTATGTATGCTGTACTCATCATCCATGCAGGGATATTTCAAAGCTACACAGAAAGCATCATGACAGGAGGAAGAAGAAGGCTTGGAAACGGGAAAAGTACCTACTCGGCACCGCAAATGAAACTGGTGATCCGTACTATTGGACATTACCAAAGAAGACTGTAAAGAACAAGAATCATCATCATCATCATCATCATGATAATAACATTACTGAAAACGTCTGTCACAACAGATTCCGAGCTTTATTATCTGATGCCGATAATGAAGAAGACGAGGAAGATTGAAAAGGTTCGGCTAGCAAGCCTGAATGAATAATACAACCCAAGAAACGGGAAACGGGATCCCCTGCTTCGCAATACAAACTAAGCAAAAACACTGGACGCCAAACTACCAAAGAAGACCATCAAGAATCATCAGCAGCATGATAATAACAGTGCTGTCAAAAACAGATTCCAAGCTTTATTATCGGATGATGATAATGAAGACGAGGAAGACTGAAAGACCGTCTCGGTTAGTTAAGGGTCTGAAATGGATCGTGTATATGCACAGGTTTGATGTTGTTAACTGGATCTACGTGAGGGCAAGTTTAGTCAAGGCAATATCAAGTTTCGGCATATTTCTCGTATAGGAATGAATAAAACTAAACCGCTGGTACATTTCTTTAATGCTGAACAACGATGTTGTGTACCTGTCCAGGGCGAAAACACCTGGGGAATAAGTGAAGGGAAAGCTCTACTTCTAAGAGCAGTGAGAAACTAAACTTGCTCACACTGCTTATTTAGATCAGTTGTGCTCATTCTGCTAAATATTACCTGGCTGATAACTTGTTTGATCTGTATCTATCGTGACAATTTCTCGAGCAAGTTTGCTAGTTGACCAACTGGAGCAAGCTGTATTCTGCACCCAAAAAGTTGCCTCTCAAAGAGACAGACCATTTCAGACAAGAAAAGGTGTCATCATGTTCTCTGCATGAATGTGCTCTATTACTGCCTCAGGAAACTTCTTCATCTGCCACCAGTAGTCTTGTTCTTCTTGATGGGAAAAAGCGTTACTTTTCTGCCAGACTTACTCGTTCTGGCTTCAGCTCGTCGGATGACTTGTATGGCAATCTGATGCTGATTCTTGCTTGCTGTCTCGTCTGTGAAGGGTTTCACTTCAAATGCTCCCCTTGTGAAACCTCTAGCAACCTGAATCCAAATTCCCGTGATCATAATATATGTAATGTGACTTTTTCAAGTGTTTTGTCAGTAAGTTTTGATACCAATGAACAGAGCTGCTTCATGTTTTTCAAGGGTTAATATCATTCCTCATCCATGTACTACGCTGTTCAACAGAAGTCCTTGACCTATGAATTTAAACAATTAAGTCTCCTTACTGTATTGTTTCCCTTTTAGTCAATTTGTTCAAATCCATTACTAATGTGGTAGACTCATGCATCATATGTCAGATTTCACATGCTAGAAATCCGTCTTTCACCCCTCAATCCGACCATCATTAATTAATATTGGCCGCTCAAGTACCAAATGGCGGATTAACAACACTCCATAGTACAAAGAAGACCCGCATACCTTCAGAAGTAGCCAGACTTTGAGGGAGCTACTCAAGATTGCAAGTCTTTTCCTTTTCCCTGAAGTTAAGTAGTCAGACATATGCTGGTCGACCCTTAATATAAATTTTGGCCATGTCTTTGGGTTTTCCGGGTCTGATTTTATTTCCATCATCACCTTGAGGAGAAATGGGAAGCAAGAACATTATCACTAAAGGTAACAGAGAAATAAACTGAGATTCACAGATATCCATCAAATAACCATTCAAACATAGAAGATTCCACTTACAAGCTGCCGGCAAATTTCTTGTTCTATCTTGGAAAAGGATGTCTCTAAAGCTTCAACTCTTCCAGTAGCATGACAGCAAGAGCATGGTTCACTGATCATAAAAGTCACACTCGGTCGAACCTGTCAAAAACATTTGCAGTATGTCAGTACTAATGCTCTGGACTTCTGGTGCAATTATTCCCATTCTAGCCTGCGAGTTTAGTCTTGTTTCCCTCATTTTCTCATTCATCTCAATTATATTGGAGATTGAAGGCTCAAATGGACTTTGTTGACGCAAGAGATTCTCCTTGAACAGGCATGGAGTACAAGATGGTAGAATAAGGATTATAAATTTATAAGCATTATACCCTCTTCCTGGTTATTTCCATGAGTCCGTGCTTCGACAATTCAGAGACCTTCACTGTTGACCGGTCTCGCTCCACAGCTTCCTTCATTTCTTCATAGACTAGCCTCTTGTTTGCTGAAAAATAACAGAGAAATATAGCAATCTATTTACAACAAACAGGCATACTACGAATTCCAGGGACTCATTTACAGTATGGAAAGCATTAGGTTCACAGTAGCTAAGGAAGGATTAATGTCCAATATTTAGGAATTGGAATGAAGCATTTTGTTGCCAACAGGGTTGTTTAGAAACAAAATCTTGAGTTGCCAATCCTGACTATTCCACTCGATGAGATGAAATGCAGCAGACATTGAGTTGAGAGAGTGAGAGATAAAACTTCTAGCTTACACTCATCTTCCATGTCTATAAAGTCTACCACAATGATACCACCAATGTCTCTAAGCCGCAGCTCCCTTGCAATCTGGAAACGAAGAGTTTGGTTATACTTCTATTCTGCCCAAGGGTCATAGGACTAGAGCAAGTTAATAAGATCACTGATGAATGTATTAGCTAACATGCAGGCAAACCGGTTTCAGCAAACAAACTGAATTACTATTTGGTGTGTGACATACTTGTTTGGCAGCTGCAAGATTGACATCTAAAATAGCCTTCTCTTGTGAAGTCCCTTGACCAAACATCACATGTCCGCCATTCACATCAATAGACACTAAAGCCTCTGTTTGTTCAATTACCAGGGAGCCACCATTTGCTAATGGAACTCTGCAACACAAAAACAAGTACCAATCATTAAAGTGGTCAAGAAAATGAAAAGAATAAGTGACGAACTCCAAGACCGCCAACAACATGACACAAGAGAGATAAGAAACCATTACCTTTTGCTGAGGATGTGATTGATCTCTTCTTCAATGCAGAATTCATCAAAGAGAGGCGTCCTTCTACCATGTAGCTCAACCCGGTTACAAAGATCGGGAGCAATGTCTTGAAGGTAGTTTGTTACCTGAAGAAAGGGACAGAAAATGGCAGCATAATCAGAGGCTCACTATATCCCACTAAAAGTTGTTTAATACGTAACCAACAGGATACCTCATGATATGTTCTTGGAGAGTCAACCACCATTTTCCGAACCTGCATATGAAATATCATGAACAAGGAAACTTTGATGGCTGGAAAAAGCCACAAGAGATGATAAATGTAAATGCAGAAGCACATCAATATAAATAACCTTCTCATTAAAGTAGTCCTGTACAACAGAGAGTGTTTGACCCATGGCCCTGTGTAGTATCACAGGAATAGCCCCTTCAACACCTTCATCTGCAGCAAGAGCAGAAGATTTTGCTTCCTCCTTTATATTTTTCCAAGTTGCCAGCAACCCTTCTAGATCTTTTTGCAATTCCTCTAAGGAATGGCCCGCAGCAACAGTCCTCACAGTTAAACCAAAACCTGGTGGCTGCAAAGTCTTCGCTATGACCCTTAGACGAGTTCGCTCAACCCCTGAGACTTTTTTTGAAACTCCAATTCTGTCACACCGGGTGCTCAATATCTGCAACTCCAAATCGATTAATGTCGCAAGTGTACTTTGGTGTCATGACAAAAGGGAAAGAGAAGCTAAACATACCCAGAACCTGCTCTTCAGTTTTGGATAAGCAGTCAATGTAGGGCCTTTTGTACCCAGTCCCTCCTTGACAACTTGTACAATAATCTTGGTGCCTTTTCGAACTTGGATCCACTTGTTTCCATTTTTTGATGCATTGGTATCTTGTAAATGAGAAATCAAAGAGTTGAAAGGTCCATCAGTTGTTTCAGCTAGCAGATGGTTTTTCAAATCCAAGAAATTCCCAAAGTGAGCTTCTGCTTCTCCAAGATCCACTACACTCCCATTAAGATGTTCCTTCTCTTCCATAGTGTCAAAATCATCATCAATATCATGCTCCTCGTCATTAACTAAATCACCCCTAGAGATAAATTCTTCAACATCAGGTAAAATGTGTTCATTCTCACTAGCAGCAGTATGTTCTTCTTCACAAGCTTCAAGCACAGAACCGTTTTCCTCTTCTTTATTGCTACTTTGGCGAAAGGGAGGAAATATAAATGGTTCTCTGTTTTGCTTTATGTCCATGAAAGAAGGCCTTGGACTTCCTATATTCACAAATGCCCCACCCATATGTGGGACGAGTTTCGTAACAACTCCTAAATACACACTGTCACACTGCACGTTAGTTTTAACTGGTTCTAGCAGTAACTCAACCAATTTCCCATCTTCTAATACAGCAATCCTTTGCATGGTACATATAGAAGAATTAATCAATATGATGGTAGATACTGAATCTTCCTTCAAAATCAGATTGCTCACGTCTGCAGGTGGCAACCGGTCTGGAGATTTGTAATTCTGGATGTCAACATCCACTTTTGAGACATCCTCCTCTATACGTCCTGATATATCTGGAATAGACTTGTCTTCATAGACAATAAATACAGTGGATGATAGGGGTAACCATGGCTCTTCAATAGGTTGGTCTCTTTCATAGGTTGTATCCTTGATTTTCCACTTTGGCGAGTGCATTGCTTCTTTTATATCAAACATAATTCTCTTCAGATTCTCTTGTTCATCTGTCAAAGCGCTGGACACATTTGAGTGTTCAGAAACATACTAAGCAAGGAACTTTCTTACCCGTGGCTGCCACGAAAAAATATTACCTGTCGGTAGAGCAGCAGGCAATGGTTGGACAGTTAGATATGCATCGTCTATCCAAGAATCCCATCCATGAGTTGGAGGACTTGCAGTACTAAACTTCCTCCATGAATCCCTCACCAGAACTCTGCTATCCTGATTGGCATTGAATGGTACTGACAAAGAAACTTCAGGACCCGTTCTCCATTTGATGTCAGATAAATTTGACCTTTCTTTCGTCATGAAATAATTATATTTGAAGTTCCCGGGGGCAATCTGCAATTGACAAAGGGTGAATAAATATGGATCCAAAGAGACTATAAACTAAGGATGCTGCGAATAGACTAGAAGGCATTTGAACCAGCGATTTCCCTCTTTTATTCAAACTGCAGCACAAGCTCTGATGATCAAAGTCGTTTTTTTTTTTTTAATTTCTGGGCCCGGCTACATATCAGAGTGTTCATGGAAGATATAATCTCAAAGACAGAACTAGAAATCGAGGCTTAGCTACAAACAAGATGAACTAACTTGCCTTCATTTGAGCTCTCCACAAATTTGAGTGTTCGGTAGGGAACATTTGGATGGCCTTACCAGGCTGCCAACACCCCAACTGAGTGAGTTCACCTGTAAGGTACAGTGACTGACCATCTGGCAAATCAGCTTCAATAGTCCAAACTACCTCACATAGTCTTTCCGAGGAAACACATCCATTGCCTGAAGACGTTGGAATGTGCCAAGCCTATCAGCCATTCTAGTTCATAGCGAAGTACCTCCAAAATTTAATGAACCTATAACGTAGAGAGATTGGAACAGCCAAGAACTCACCTTTCTTTGCAGACATTACCGGAATTCTGAAATGATAGCGACTCCTAGTGCTACGGAGTCTACATCTCCGTGCATTGTCAAGGGATATCCGCTGGCACGTGCACCTGGTGCAAGGAGAGTTAGATAAGATATCAGGACATCCAACTTCTCAATTCTAGTCTCTCTGGAGCATTTTCACAAACATGATGTGGGACTTACTTCGACCAGGGTTTCCTGGAACCCAAAAGACAAGAAAGAGAGCGCGGAGTGAGGAATACGTGATGGGGTTGCCGAGACCAAGCGTTGGATACTTCCATGAACTTGTTAGCCGGCTGGAGCTGAAGCTCAGAGGTGCGAGCAGCCATGCGCGACCAAGGTTGGGCAAAGGGAAGAAATTTTGACTACCCAGATGGGCAGTTCCGACATTTGGAATTTAATTTCCCTCACGAATTAAGCAAGCAGTTGGGCGCGGCGAGAGGGAGGGGAGAATTGAGGTTGGTCAAGTGATGGAAGCTGCTTGTTTGTGTAGATAGGATGGAACGGTGAGCAGATAGAAGAAGAAGAAGAGTAGCAGGTAAAATGGGAAATTGCATAATTGTGCATTTGTGCTCCCATTTCCGCTTTAGATTGGCGCGTTGTGCAGGAAAAACAGAGGCAAAAGATTACAACTTTTGGGCCTCTCTGAAGCCGTACCGCTAAGTTGATCACTTAGCCCCATTCTGCAATTTTCTTTTCTTTGCCCCAATTAAATAGCCCATTCCAAAGGCCTTTTGAAGAATTCAATTGGATTTTTCTTTTCTTTGGCCTAATTAAATAGTCCATACCATAGGGTTTTTTCTTAGAATTCAATTGGTGAATGGAAGTTGTGATTTCAAACGGTGTATTGAGCTAATTATGTATTTGTGAGTTAAGTCGTTTTTATTTATTTATATTGAATCAGAATACATGAATTTACTTTTTGGAGGCCCCACTACAATCACTCAAAATTGAGGGATTAACAATCTCTACTTTTTGTTGAGATTCTTCACAATCACTCAAAAATAACTTTTGTAGCTTTGCAACAAAAACACAATCTAAGCCTCCAAACAATATATTTGCCTAATACATCAAATGATAATACAGTAATTGTCTCAATACATCAATTGATTAAGAAGATTCAAAATTATTTTTTTATAGAAATATGTTACAAGGTGTTCTACTAGAGGGGCGGGAAAAAGGAGAAACAAGCGTGGTCTTGAGATTTGAATCTGGGAGCTCCAAATTGAAACCAACGATACAATCATTTGGTCACCTCCTCGTTTGCGAAGATTCAAGATTTGCCCCCAATTACATCATATAACATATGAGGGATTTGAGTTAAAAATAACAATCCTTCAATATATATACCTGGAAAATAAATAAATATATTAACATTTGAAGCAAATTAATATAACCAAGACAATAAATTAAGAATTCAAAAATTGAAGAACTAAATTGGTATAGTTTAAGATGACTGAAGTTATAAATAAATATAAAAATTAAATTAATTCATTGGTAAATGCAAACAATAAAAAACCCTCAACAATGATGTTTTCCTTAATAACATTTAGAAATTTTTTGAAAGGAAAAGTAAACATTTAGAAAAAAAATTAACAAAGTTGCTCCTTTCTAGGCTTGAATCCTGGAGGTAGGGGTGAACAAACACACCCGCAAACCGACCCATCCGTCCAACCCGACCCAACCCACCCGTATTTATCGCTAAAACGAAGGTTTTGGGTTGGGTGAAGGTTTTCTTTTGTACAACCCGCCTCTTTTGGGTTGGGTTTGGATTTTGGATTACACAACCCGTAGAACCCGACCCAACCCGTGTTCCAACTATTAGTATGAGTTCGTATCTAAAAAATATCTATGTCGTATATAGCAATACTTATGAGAAAATTAAGATATTTCGCCATGTTTTTCTATCATGGTCTCCCTAATCTAATGCATTCTTCGACTTAAAGTTTAGACATAAATTGAGTATAGTTATGATTCACGTAATCCTTTTTCTTGTGTACAATTTTAATAGAATAACATATTATGGATGCGTTTGTTTATAACCTTTTTAGCCTATTTCAACAAATATCGTGAAAAAAACTAGACATATGTTGAAGTAAATCTACATTTTATTAAAATTCAAACAACATTTTTGAATTTTGATAGCTTTCACCTCGGTTTATTCGTTTGAAATTTTAATTAGTTATAAAATATTTTTATGATGTATAATAATTATATATTTTTATGTTGGGTTGGGTTTTTACTTAAAATTATCGCCAACCCGACCCAACCCAATTAGAAACAAACCGTAGGGTTTTAATTTTATTGGGTGGGTTTGGGTTTGATAATTTCCAAACCGTAGTGCATGGGTCGGGTGATTAAAATGGTTAAACCCGAACCACCCGACCCATGTACACCCCTACCTGGAGGAATGTTCTTAGGGTTATATGTATAATATGCCTCTCTACTATGTCATTTTATCAAACATGCCCCTCTACTATATTTTACATCAAACATGCCCTTGTATGTTGACAAAATGATCAAACATGCCCATCTGTTAAAATTCTCATTGAAAAAATCATCAATCGTGGTTGAACCGAGATTTAGACGACCCGACATCGGCAAATGGGAGGGAAATTTTTCAGTTTTGTCCCCTACTTTATTTCCCGGGTCTCGTTAAAGTGAAATTATAAGAATCATTTGGCTATACAAAAGAACCAAATAAAATTCTAAAGTGAAATTATTAGGGGTATTTTAGACATTTGTGTCTCTCAAACCAAAGTTTGATCGTGGTTAACGGTTTTTGGATGAAAATTCGAACATAAGGGCATGTTTAATAATTTTTCCAAAGTACAAGGGCATGGTTGATGTAAAAAATAGTAGAGGGGCACGTTTGATAAACGACATAGTAGAGGGGCATATTATACCTATATCCCAATGTTCTTACCACTATACTGGGAGCAACACATGGTTTAAGTTTGCACATGTAAATATATATAAATAATGTTGTGTTTATACGTAATTTCCCAAATTTCGTACAAAATTATACGTAGGTTTTAAAATTCTCGAGGGAGGGGGGCTCTCCTAGCTCCACCCCTGATCACGAGATCGACATTCCAATCACGAATAATAAAACCCAGACCTATTTCGTCATTACCATTAGTACCCACATCAGAAGTCATTTTCAGAATCCCTATGGATGATTTGGAAATCTAGAAACTCGGTTGTTTTTTACCATTCTCAATATAATACAAGTACACTGGTTTGCCAGTACCAAGTCGGGTTAGAGAATGGATGGATTTTCCGGATCCTGACATGGAAAGACGCCAAATGTAGTAGGACATATGGAGGAGGAAATTTTGAATACGCCTTATATCGATGGTGCGGTCAGATTGAGTTATCATGCTTCGAGTGAGATTGTTGTGCAGAACCGTGAGGGTACCATGCTATTTGTGTCTTTGTTTATGCATCTATGATGGATCTCTATCTGAGTGAATTAATGGCTTTCTGGGATGCGGTTCGATTGTGCTCTATGAAGCATCTTGCTGAAGTCACTAGCCTGTGAGATGCTCAAGCTATTATTTCTTAGATCAGAAATCGGGAGACTTAAGATGGGAAAGGTGGAGCTATCTTCGAAGAGATCTCCTAGCTACGACAATTGTTTACAGTTTTTTCAATTGGTTTTCGAGACCGGCAAAACAATCGAGCAACTCATTTGGTAGCCAAAAAGGCTCTTTCTTTGTTTCTTGTGGGTTTGAGTGGTTTCGATTTTCGTGTTTGGTTTCTTTGTGGGATGTAAAATTTGGTATCTTTGATTCTTGGTAATGCAAGTGAGCTTTTGACAAAAAAAAAGATATGGCTTTCTTGAGCAGTTTAACCTGAGACCTTCATTTCATAACTTTGGAAACATGTTCACCACTATGTTATTTAATATCACATTGATTAAATTCAAAGAATTTTTTGTGCCCAATTTAGTTATGTTAATTAAATTAGTTTAAGTTGGGTCTTTGTGATGGAGTTTTGGGTCATGTTGAGCACCTGTGAGGGTGGTCTTCAACACCCCACCATGCATACCTCCTTTTAGAAGATAGGGCATCTAAAAAAGTCAGCGGTAGGACATTTTATGTTGAAATCATGATTTAACTGTGATTCAATCGTTTCATTTTGCAAAAGACTACCTACCAATATATCCTCTGAGAGGAGGGTTATTTCAATCGGACCACCGATGCGATTTCATACACGGTAAAATCTAAGTTGAGTAGTTTTGGTAATATAAGGTTGTGCGTGTTTGGAGGAATTATTCGCGGTTAAATTCGTGAACTCATGAGCACCTTCTGGATTTGGGTTGTCTCTTCCAAAATTCAATAATTATTTTACCAGGTTTTTGGGGCAGATGCACCCGCTGGGTTAGATTAGATTTGGATTTGGAGAACTATGATCCATTATTATCCTTACCTCATTTCCGCAACCCTCAAGCATGACATCACACAAGGGAATATCAAACATAATATGATCTAAAGAGGTAGACACGACCACCCATAATATCTAACGAACAAGGTCATTAAGGTCTCTCAAGGTATCAAACATGCACACCCCCACATGGCAAGCATGATAGCTTCATTTGTATCAAGCATGATACCCAACTAGGTAGCCATCACGGTCGCATCTCATCAAGCCAACAAGACCCCAAGTTAAGCACGCCAAGTAGGTTACCAGGACAAGTCGTCAAGCAAGACACCTCCATGACATAGAGATTGCTCATCAAGCTCACTGTGAAGTCTTCAAGTCATCTCAGTATCAAGTGGTCTACTTGGAGGGATGTTAGGGCACCAATAAGCTACATCAAGTACTCCAGCAACCGGAGGAGCGATTACCAACATTTGACACCACTTGTAAAGTTCTACCTTTTCTCTATACGGTAGTCATAATCTTCACCTTTAGTATCTAACTCCCGTAACATTGTCATAGGAATAGGCATAATTTAACTTAGTTTGTACCAAAAATCATCAACTACCACCGTTCGAACTTCGTTCGGAAAAGTTTGAACCTTATTTAAAAAATTGAACCATATAATTAAATCACTATCCAAAAAATTCAAAGGAGGATCTATTAATGTCAGCACAAGTTTTCTCCAAGAGAAAATAAAACACGATTATGCAATGAGAGGGAATAGGGAAGACTCTCAGTTGCAAATTAGTCAAACAATTAATCAGTTGGAAAGATAGTAGAAAGCTGCAGAACTTAGATAATATTATGTTTGCCTCAAGAAGAAATTGGTCCACTATTCCACACATTCAATTGAACTCTCAGATAGTTCAAGGAAAGCTGCAGATTCCTAAGAGCCTCCATTTGACTGTCTCACTACTAAACCTAGGATTTGGCTTTCAAAACAAAAAGAAGCATAGGGGCAGTCTGTCTTCTTTTACCTCGTCACGAAATCACAACCATTGACCCGGTTAGACATAAAAAGCTGCAAACTCACCACGTAAGCTGCATGCATATAAACCATGATGCATTAACCATAAGCACATGATTCAATCAGCAGGGAACAAGTAACCAGAAAGAATACGGATTCATAAACCAAGTATAAACCAGATCTCTTGTTGGGTAGCTGCAATAGATGATGATCATAAACCCTCTCTCCCTCTATCTCACAATATGTACAACGAAAGAACTTCCAAGTACTCTTTCAAGCTCCCAATCTATGCTCCCTGGATTTCACAGCAAAACTAAAGAAGTACCCTCTATGTACACACTAACACGCTGTACATGGCATCTCTCTCGCTATAAAATCGCTATACCTTCTTCAAGAAAAGCACGGTGCAACATCTTTTTCGGGCATCAATGGGGTCCTGCAGAGAGGGCAAGTGATGTTCCAGTAGTCCAACCATTTCTCAAGGCACACCATGTGGAAAATATGCCCACAGGACAAACGGTTGATCTCTGATTCTGGGTTGAACCGTGTCAAGCAGACTGAGCAGTCATGCTCAGTCCGGCATACCTTGTCAAACCGAGTTGGTGGACTCCTGCTGCGGAACTCCTCGATGTAGCCCTCTGAGGCGGCCCTGCTTCGGAATTGGTCAATGAACGCATCTGAGGTAGTTGTGGTGAACTCAAAAGGGTGCATCGTGGGTTCTTCCGTGAACTCGGAGTATGGAGGGGATGACGGAGGGAGATGGATACCAACTATGTGAAGGATTGAACGGAGGATTCCTTTGACAATAGAGATCGACAGTGCCGTGTTTACAAGGAGTAGACATAGGACTCCTTCAGATGGAGATGGAAGAGTTGAGAGACCCATCTTAGCGAAATTGAACTTGAGGAGTTAAATGAGGATCAAGATCTTATCTGTGCAACTAGATACCTGAACAAAGGAACATAAACATGGTAGAAATCAGATACTGAATGAATAAACTAGCTTCCAACCAACAAACGAACTCAAAATACGAAATCATTCCATGAACTAAACTGAGCAATTGCCTTTTGTTTGTGGCAAAATTCATTGGAAGCCCAGTGACTAGCCAAAAATTGAATGAAATCAAAGGATGCTGATCCAAACTAGACTAGAAGTTCAAGAACTTCAATCCAATTTTCGAATAAACTACCACTATCAATAGAGATGGAAGACCATAAAGGATCAATTATCACTCTATGGCAGAAAACCAAAAGTTCTATCAGCCTAATGAAATGTCAGGTATAACTGAGACCGAAATTAGAAGAACAACCCTTTTGAATTTAGGGTCAATACAGATCGACCTAGATTCCAGAAATCAAGGAAACCCTCCGAAACCCAGGTCCTCCCTTAATTAGCATCATCAATTATCAGCTTCTGATGGCACAGATACAGACAAAAGATCGGACAGTATACAAAATCTGGACCAAAAGAAGAAACCTCCACAAATGGGGAAGCTCAACAGAAGTCACCTGGATTTGGAAAACCCAGCTAGCTAAATCAGAAAACATTCGTCCAGCTAATATCCAGATCCAGTTTTTTTTTCCATTTTAAATACAGAAAGATACGATCTTTCCTATGTCATTTCAGAATATTAAACAAGAACTAGAGAGAAAACAGCTTAGCTCTGTCGAGAAAGTGAACAAAGGAATGGATAGAAACTTACACACAACACAGCTGGAGTTGTAAAGTTTCCTACTTTGCAGAATCAAAGTAAAAATTGCAGCAGATACTGTTGAATGATCAGCTAGAAAACCCAGGAAGCGAAGAAGTAACGGTACAAGCCAAAAACCTACAAAAGGTTATGGATTCATTCAATCGGCTAGAGAGGTTAGTGGGAGGAAAAATGGAAAGTGTTTCAGCTGCTCGATGCCTTGTTTATTTGCTTTGCCTTCTATCTATGGATGATGGGCTTTTTATAATTACCATCCACAGGAAAACAGGCCAAGAGAATTCCCACCCACCACCCTCCAGCAGCCTAACCCATATTGGTTTCCAGTTTTCAACCATGGTTAAGTCATCCGTTCCTTTCCGGAAGTCTTAAGCACTAACCATGGTTACTTTATATCAACATCCTTCCTTCTTTTACTCCCTTTTCCCAGGGTCCTTTTTGCTTCCACTTTTTCATTAGCTTCAAAGCTTTAAACTTTCCATCTTTACTTAAGAGTCGTGATTATTGGTTCTTGGCTTCTTCCCTCTCGGTGCAAGACTTGGTACACTTAAAGAATGTAGATGGTAATGTATGGTTGGTTTGGATTGAATATTTGTCAAGGTTGTTATTTGAAGTGAATTATCACATATCACATAACTATTATAGGCAACAAATAGTATTGTGAAATTTGCACGTCTAAGTGAGTTATATGTTGTAATATTTAGGGTTGGTGATCTGTTGGTAGTAATCGGTTAATTGGTTATCAGTACACCGAAACCTTCTAAATGGCTTTCGAAACAGTACCGGGTTGGCAGTCGATTACCCGGTTACTTTCTAACTTGTTAACGGTCAATAGGGGTGTACATGGGTTGGTTGGTTCGGGTTTAACCATTTTAATAACCCGACCCATGTACTACGGCTTGGGAATTATCAAACTCAAACCTACCCAAAAATATTTAAACCCTACGATTTGTTTCTAATTGGGTTGGGTCGGGTTGGTGATATTTTTAAGTAAAAACTCAACCCAACATAAAATATATAATTATTATACATCATAAAAATATTTTATAACTAATTAAAATTTCAAACGAAAAAACCGACGTGAAAGGTATCAAAATTCACAAATATTTGAATTGTAATAAAATGTGATTTACTTCAACATATGTCTAGTTTTTTTCACGATATTTGTTGAAATAGGCTAAAAAGGTTATAAACAAACGCATCCATAATATATTATTCTATTAAAATTGTACACAAGAAAAAGGATTATGTGAATCATAACTATATTCAATTTATGTCTAAACTTTAAGTCGAAGAATGCATTAGATTAGGGAGACCATGATAGGAAAACATGGCGAAATATCTTAATTTTCTCATAAGTATGGCTATATACGACATAAATATTTTTAGATACGAACTCATACTAATAGTTGGAACACGGGTTGGGTCGGGTTCTACGGGTTGTGTAATCCAAAATCCAAACCCAACCCAAAAGAGGCGGGTTGTACAAAAGAAAACCCTCACCCAACCCAAAACCTTCGTTTTAACGATAAATACGAGTGGGTTGGGTTGGGTTGGACGGGTGGGTCGGTTTGCGGGTGTGTTTGTTCACCCCTAACGGTCAACAACTCTGTTATCGAATAACCAGCAAAAGTGCAAGAGTAGAATATTGGGTCTCCTCCTCTCGAACTCTCCGACTGCACAAACCATGCCTCCCCTCCTCGGCGATCTCTCCCCCAAGATCTCCACTTGCCAGCCTCAATCTGGGATGAATTGGTCGAGGAAGGTGAATCTGCCGACGACGACGATGGAGAGTGAGAAGGTTGAATCCTGAGTCGGGTCATCGACGCCAAGGTAGTCAAAATCGCGCTTTAAAACTTAAAAACTTACGATTTTACATTTCTAGGTCACTAAAACGCTTCTACGCAAAATCTCAGTTTTTATAACTTATGTAGTTAAAAACTCCGCTTTAAAACTTAAAAACTTACGATTTTACGCTTCTAGATCAGCAAAACATTTCTACGTAGAAACTCGCTTTTGACTACATTGCTGGACGGTTCCCATAATAGAGACGAAATCGGCTTCCCCTTCATAGACGACGAACATATTGAAAGGCCCCGATTTACCCTCACCACTATCGCAGGTCGTCTGTCCACTCCAAGGTTGTCAAACCGGTCTATGCTAGTGTGCCGGTTTAGCAAGTGGAATGGTTCGACCGGTGGCACATACCGGTTTGTGCCGGTTCATGCCGGTCAATATTATAAATAAAATTATAAATACTCATATTTAAACATGACATTTAACGTCAATACTTAAACATTTATATACTTGAATCCAACAAATAACATCAATATTTAACTTTTATACTCATAAAATAAATAATAAAATTATTTTTATCAATTAAACTCACTAAAATAAGGCCATTTTACTTAGAGATTCGTAAATCAATCAAGCCGGTCATACCGGTGGTGTCACACCGATTTTATAACCGGTATAGGTTGAACCAAATTCAACCGGTGACACGCCGGCCGGCGTGAAGTCCACTCCATCCATTTCATATTCCCACTCCATCCCCAATTTGCCCTTACAGCACCGAAGAAGGGCCTCGATTTACACTCACCACTGTCGCATGTCGTCTGCTTTCTTCTACCCTCCCTTGTTGCTCTCTCCTGGGTCTGGTTCGGGATTGTTCAAATCCGTCGACAAGATGGACGAAAGAGGCATATGGATCTGTTGTATGTGGATGAGCCACATAATGAGGCCTAATGGCGACGATTTGGCTGTTGTCCACAAGCATGCCAGAGGGAGATTGAGAGCAAGATCTACAAAATCGCCCCGTCGGGTGTAAGGACTGGGAGATGAGTGAGGGAGGAGAAGTAGAGATCGATCTTTCATTGTTATTCCGACCAGAAACCTTGCCCCTCCCCCAAATAGACGATGGGCCTTCAACCACAGCTGGTGGCGCCTCTCTTTACGCTTATGCCTCTTTCGCTAAGGATGACCATTAAGGACTGGGGAGGAAGGAAGACGGAGAGAAGGTGAGTGAGTGAGGAACAATGTTGATGCTGCTTCCAGGGAATAAATCCCTTACCCATGGGTGATGGCTTGGAGAAAAGCGACAACGATGGGAGGTGTTGTGACCGATCACCGATGACAGGGATGCTTCAAGCACCACTGCACTAAAGTTGGTGGAGATTTGTTTCTTTTTCCACAGCTTGTCAATTGGGGAAGAAGACGGAGAGACGAATGGAAGAAGAAGCGAGGGTGTGGACTAGGAAGGGCTGACAATTGTTGAATTATCAGGGCGGCTGCGGGTTATCCGACATACCAGGTAACCGACGATAATTTATCAGGAAAGATTCAATACACCGTTTGGTCTGTGATGGCTACTGCCAATGGGTATCGGTGGTTAACGGTTCGATAATCATCGGTTATACTGTTAACCAGCAAACTGATTACCACCTCTAGTAATATTGTTGATGTGGTATTTGCATTCAAATTTCTTATGCTACCAATTTGTCCTTCTTAACTTTGTATCTTCCTCCATTTTTCATCAACTCAAAATTTGTTATGCTAGCAATTTGCCTTTTTTAACTCCATATCTTTCCTCGCTTTCCCAACATTAGGGATTTTTTTTAATCTCCAATTTTGAGTTAATTATTGGAATAAATGCATGTGTTTTAGCGAGAGCTTATTGATCTGTTGTAGATGGAAACAATTTACCTGGCCCTTTTAAGGCCAGGATTGTATATTCCTAGGATCTCTTGCAAATCCTTACTTTGGAAGTAAGGTGCGGTTCTATTGAAGAGCACGTGTTGTGGATGTTGAGGTGCCTCCGGTTTTACAGAACGTAAGAGTTTGAAAAGTAACGCAGTGTGGAAATATAACTCTACGCTAATTGACGAGTGAAAGATTAGAGAATGAAGACATTGCATAGGCAAGCTCCCCCTACGTCTCCTAACGATGCGCCCTCCTTGATTGGTTGTATAATCAAGCATTCACTCGAACTAACTGGCGACAAGGATCCTTCGGTTTTCTCCCTTGAGATGTCACGCCATTCGGTTGAATGAAGTTCGATCGAGTAGGACTGCTATTTCTAGTCTCATACTAAACGACTGGGATTTTCTATCCTTGCACCTCAAAGGAGTGTGGATCTGTTGTAAGCTCACATTCGAATCGACAAATAATGAAATAGAGGAAATCTAGCATCACACATATGAAAAACAAACAATCGTATTCTTTCAAATCATCGTGCTTACATGCAATGTAGTTAAACTATAGTTTTTGTGTATAAGCGGAATGATGGGTACAAACTTAAGCGTAAAAGCGGAGCGTAAGAACGTAAGTTTATATGAACCATTGAAATTGTGAAAAATCAACTTAAAAGACTAATAGGATGCACACACAGAAAATTGGAAAAGATTTTGAACTAGAGTACATTCTAACTCAGAACAGGTTCATAAATATAGAAAAAGAGTTGAATCATACGCTAATATGAATCATAACTCAGAAATATTCATATTATGGACATCACAAGCCCTCCAAAAAAATTGATCATGATTTATGCTACATTTGGGCAGCAACGTCCACATTTCCATCCAAATCATATCATCTTAATTACCGCCATCGTAATAGTTGTTATTGTCACTAACATCATGCTCCTCATAAATACATCAATCCTCATTCATGTTAAAAGAATCACTTTGAAGCCAGCGGCATGATCACTTTAGTTTTTTCATCTATAAAAAATCATTTGACCATCCCATGACATGCCAAATCGCTCCATAAACATTATCAGTAAAAGCTCTTATAAGCGTCCTAAAAGCTAGCTTTTAAGGATTTTTATGCACATATTGTGATTTTGAAGAGTTTATATTAAGCTTATGATGCCAAAAGATTTTTCAAAGAAAAATACTATATTGGAGGAGGTAAGAACTTAAAAGCGTAAGCTTTTAGGCTTAAACTATAGCTTTTAACTACATTGCTTACATGGTTAGAACCACTAGAGTTCACATACCTATGATGCAACTAAGAAAATTAGTCATCCATGGGTAGGAGTTCCTGGGTGTTCATCGATGGAAACGAAGACATCAAGATGTCCACTAGATATGTGCCGGTGAAAGAGAAAACAGGCCAGTGGCTCTATTTTGGGCACCGATTCTCCCTTGTAGGTCGGTCTCATTCTACGTTAGGAGGTTGCTCTATCGACAGAGTAACGACCCTTCCTTGACCTCTCGTCTCCTTTTCTTTATTTCCTATCTCTAGTGACCTATTTTTAGGCCTTTGGTTAGGCTTTCCATGGAGATAAAACTGTAGCTCCAACGTCATTCAGCAACTCAGAGCGCTCCAAACACGTGGCCAATGAATCAAGATGCTTTGGGATGACTTTTTGACGAAGTGGTTGAGCTCCCCAAAACGATGCCATTTTTGCCATTTCTCAGGCGCTCAGGGCACCGCTTCTTCCAGCCTTCCAAGCGTCAGGTATTTGAATCTCAGCTCTAGTAACTTGATCTCGATGTCCCTTATGGCTTCCAAGTGGTACACAAGACATCTTTGACCTGAAAATGCATAGAATGCTACCTAAACCGTATCAATTGTATAAAAGTAATCCTAGGATTGCTATAACACACTTGAAATCATAGCATAAATTCGAGGTATTATGACACTAATGATGAAAAATGTATGCACTTAGGGTCACAATACTGGGTTCTAAAATAGATACTTTCGCGTGTCATCACTTATAATTGTCATTTCAAAGAGCTAGTTATGGTTTAACTAGTAGTAGTCATTATGGATTTAAAAGTTGTTTGAATCATTTGGAATCAAGTTAACTTGTGTTCATGTTTTGTTAACATATTTAGTAAAATATGAAAAGGGTTAATATTTTCGTATGGCCTGGACTTTGGCCAAAATAAACATCCTGACCAATCTTTTCGATCTATAACATCCTGGCCCGAACTATACCCCAAAATAAACAATTTGGCCAAACCCGATGTTTGACCGTTAACTTGGACGGTCAAACACGTTGACTAACGATCAACGCGCCACGTCACTGCCACGCCACTGCCAAGTCATAAGATCTGAAATTTTTTATTTTTTATTTTTTTTTATTTTTGGTTTAACTAAAGTATTAGATGATTTTGTTTTAATTTATAATAATTTAAAATTAGGGAATGTGTGGAAATTGTGAATTATTTTAAACATTTTATGCTGACTTGGCAGTGACATGGCGCGTTGACTAACGGTCAACGCGTTTGACAGTCCATGTTAACGGTCAAAAGTCGGATCTGGCCAAATTGTTTATTTTTGGTGTATAGTTCGGGCCAGAATGTTATAGATCGAAAAGATTGGCCAGGATGTTTATTTTGGTCAAAGTGCAGGCCATACGAAAATATTAACCCAATATGAAAATGGTATGTTTTTTTATGGTTAAATAAAAATTTTAATTAAGAACGAGCACCCTAGAATAACTTGAGCACCTCTCAACTCATACAACCATCATGCAAATTACAAAGAACCTATCTCATACAACCATAATGCTAATTACAAATTCTTCTGCCCCTATCCAACAATAAAGATAATGGTATGTTGCAGTATTAATATATGCAGTTTTTTATATGCCGCTTAAACATGATAGTATGCTTAAAGATTCTCTTTAGTTATAAAATATTATTAAATTTAATACGTATTTTATATTGAAAGTATCAAACTAAAAAGAAAAGATTAGACGACTCAACAATCTTACACGAATGAGAATTTTAAACATATTTAGTATGTATACGTGTATTATATGGGTATTAAATGAATTTTCACTAATTAAGTTGGTTAAGCGATATTGAATCTTTGTTAGTGTTAGCATAATTAAGGTAAGAGGGGAGGTAAATAATGGTTATGACTTAGGAGAAAAGGGAAAAGAAAGACGAAAAAAACTAATTGGATAAAAAAATGGTAAAGAGTGTGAGAAAAGAATAAAGGGCAGTTTGGGATTAATAAAAAATGATAATTTCAACAAAAAGAGTATAACTTGTGTTTGTTTGTACTGTTTTTATTTGAGAATTTTTTTCTAAAGGTTGGAAAAAGTATGGTTAGAATATAGGCTAACTCCAATGGAGCCTCTATAAATGGGGGAGCCTCTATATTTGGGGGAAAGTTGGCTCCAATGGAGTCTCTATAAATGGAGGAGTCTCTATATTTGGGGGAGATCTCCAAAAGGATCCCCAAATTTGGGGGTTGAAATGGGGGTTCCCCAAATATAGAGACTTCCCAAAGCCCGCCACGTGGCGTTTCTTTTTCTTTTTAAGATTTTAAGGGTTAATTGAGGTTTAATTAGGAGATTAGTTAGGGGTTTAATTAGATCAATAATTTTCAAGTGTTGTGTGTAAACCCAAATTAGGTCAATCATTTTTTGTCAACAAAAATTTGGTCTCAAAATTAAAAAAATTTCTACCGGAAAATTTGTATTTAAAAATGATGACGAACTATACAAAAATTAACATGAACAAATTATATTAAGGCTTCGATAAGTACATTGTTAAGTAAATGGAAAACTTAGAAAATGGAGATCTCCAAATATAGAGGATGTAGCATTGGAGCAAAAGAAGGGAAAATGGGGATGAACCCCAAATTTGGGGATGAAGATCCACAAATTTGGGGGCTTGCATTGGAGTTGGTCTTAGAAAAATAAAGTTTGATAGAAGGAGCACTTTTTATTAATAGAAAAATAGTCTTTTTTTTTACTAAAAATAATCATATATTGATTCTAAGAATAGATAATTATATTATGAAATTAAGGCAGGTCCGGAATTCAAAGAAACGACTTATAGTAGGCTACCCTATTACTACGTCGACCTACAAATCGAACACAAAACCCATAGTGGATGGCAAAATAACGCACGACTTCTTCAAGAATAGCCCCCATCCGATTATCACTGGTATCGGCCCGATTGATCTTCTCGATAATCACCTAGGCATCACCTTTGAATCTTATTTCTCTTAAGTAGTGATCCAGACACCATAAAATAGCTTCCCGGAGCACGAGCCATTAGGATATCCCTAGATGGGTTCATAAGAACCATTCCGCCTCCCGAGTGAGACCCAGACCTTGTAGCCCCATCCCACATACAAACAACCATATTAGTCCCCCCAGGATCCAACTGTTGTAGCAAAGGGACAGAGGCCTGAGGTGCTCGTTCCATTCGACCCACCGACAAACCTACCCACTCTTCATATTGCTAGTTAAACTGGCACATCAAAGCAGAAATCCCAAATTATTTACCCTCAAAGACAACCCAGTTACGAGACCGCCAGATCCTCCAGAGAATTGCAACCACCGCCATGAACAGTGAAGGTTGATGTATTAATACCTTCCCGCTCTTTCTGTGGAAGTTTATGTCTTTAAGACATCAACTTCCACAATAAGAGCGGGAAGGCATGACGGGGCAACCCTTCCCCAAGATACTCTAGACATGAATAGTCCCAAAGGGCTCGCGCCATCGGAAAATAGAGAAACCAGTGTTCCATTGTTTCAGCATCAGCCCAACAAACCGGCATCTGGGGAAACACAGAGACATCCTTCTCGATGAGGGCTTCAGTAGTTGGTAGGATTCATTTAAAGATCTGCCAGACAAACACTTTCAATTTGGGGGGGGGGGGGGGGGGGAATATCAGCTTCCCATAATCGAATCCAGTTGGTCTTATCCATCTAACTAGCCGTAGACCTCCAACGACCCTTCCGCTTATAAAGTGAGACAGCTAAATGGTAGGTCGATTTGATAGAGAAAACCCCTTCACCCGTGTCATGTCAGATCAGTCTGTCCTCCACATTCCAAAGCAGAAGCAGAATGGCTTTAATGGCACGACAAGTAGGCGGATCAAACCACTGGCTAAGTTTGAGCTCACACCAACGCCCTTCCCCCTGACAAATAACCTCGGCAACATGCGGGCCACCCCCATCTGGTAAAACCCGGGGATTATATGCAGGGAGACCGGGCTGTAGCCGTGGTATCCAGTTGGAATGAAGCAGAGAAGCAGCCCGACTATTACCAATCTGTCATCTTAGCCCCATTTCCAATAACTGCCATAGAGGATACTTTGTCATCCCTAAGATGGGCGAGAGCGAGCCGTAGCACTGAAGAAGGTCCCAGTCGGAAAATATTTTCCTTTATAAACTGGGATAATAGAGACTGGGGTTCATTAAAGATACGCCAACCAATTTTGGCTAATAAAGCTTGATTAAAGTGTTCAGATCGACGAAATCCCATCCCCCCATCATGTTTACTCCTGCACATATTACGCCAGGACATCCATCGAATCCTTGAATGGCCCTCCTCCCCACCTTACCAAAAGCAGGCCACATGTTTGTCCAAGAGACGTCACAACGACTGAGGTATTTTGAAACAAAGCTATGTTTTTACTAAAGCAAAATGCCGATTTAGCCAAGTTCACCCCCTGTCCACTAAGTTCCTCATATTCATTTAAGACCTCGATAAGATTTTCACATTTCTGAAGAGAGCCTCACATGTAGGGGTGGAAATCGGTACGGTATCGGTATCCCAATACCAAATACCGAAATCCTAAAAATCGAATTACACCCTAGAATCAATCCCAACCCCAATCCCTAAATAATTTCGGTATCCCAATCCCTAAATATTCTGGTATCCCAATCGGTACTTCGGCATCCCAATCGGTATTATCGAATACGAAATTAATTACATTTATAATTAATAATTAATATATAAATTAGATTTGATTGGTAAATATAGGACACATAGACTAAACAAAGAGTTTTGAGTTTGACTAGAGCTAGGATATAGATAAGGAGAATCGAGTAGAGGTGACATATCAAATTTTTGTCATTGGTAATCTTTAATTTGACGAATTGGAGGCTGAGAGAAGACTAATACTAGTGTTTGCTTTTTGGTGTTATGAAAATAACAATAGATTGGTGGTTGAGGGTAGTATAGTAGTGAATGAGAGAGTCTAGTTGAGAGGATAAACTACACACTAGCTTTATATTTCAGTATTGTTTGGTATTTCGGTATATACCGATCTCAATCTCGTAATCTCTAATACCGAGTAACAATTGAAATTGAATCTCAATCCCAATACCAAGAAACTCGCCTCCTTCCACTTGGCGATGAGTTTGGAAACTTCATTGTCGTGAAAGAGCGCACTGGTTCATCTGGACGCCAATTAAGGGCAAACTCTCAACTCATAATGTCAGGAAATTCTGACACCTGAGCTCAGATGATAAGTGCCCTTATCTAAGGAAGAGGTTGAAATGAACCTGCATTGCTTGAAAGACTATTTTTTTTATCCAAGATAAGCCCCTAGGGCATGGCCGAATAACAATAATATAAAACTCAAAATAATAAAGAACGGTAGTCCGTATGCAACCGGACTCCCGATGAAAGAGCCTGTTATGCCACGAGATGGGCAGCTCTATGAAAACTCCGAGGAGCAAAATGACACGGAACTGACACAGGAAGTGAGAAGAGGGAGAGAAACACTTCCCTCATATGGAGTCAGTGCTCGAATGGGAAGACTTCCTCTCTAAAGCATCTGTGATGGCCAATTGAGAATTTTCTCAAAATAAAATGCCAAAACATTATGAGTAACTCACCATCTAATAGACATCATTAATACCATGAATAATTTACCAAGAACAAATAACCTTAACTGATAGACTGATGAGGTCGATTGCACTTCTTTCATGTGTCTTAACTATAATAAGATTCTCCTGCAATGCAGACAACCCAAAAAGGATCCAAAAATGCTAGAAATATCTAATCAAAGATAATAAAGTTTACCATTAAGACTTAATTAGAATAACTCGAGAAACCACACCCATGACTCCATTAGATGAGTCATCCAATAAATCTAATAAGAAAGAAATTAATTAAATTGAATAGGTTAACCTTAACGCAAATAAAGTTCAAAAAGAATACATTGTAATAGAAAGCTCAATAAACTGAGAATTAGTCAAAGTAATGCAAACTGATTGGTAAATGGTCAATCTAATGCACATAAGCCACAATTTGGGCAGCAATTAATTATAATTATAACGATTAAGCGAACCAAAGAAAATAATTTAGATAGGGTCCTCCATTACGGTCCTAATTGGTATAAACTTATTCAAAACTAAAAAGAGAAAGATGCATTAAGCATAATTGTCATGGAATTAAAGGAATTCTATAATAATTGGAATCAATGAGAAATAGATAATAAAATCACACTCATAAGTTAAATCAAACGGAATTGGAAAATACAGATGATGAATAATTAGCCCACAAAAGAGGGAAACAAAATAAAATAAAATGAGATTACTTAAAAAACCGACACAATTAGCATCTTAAAGAGGGCAACAAAACAACGGAAGAGAGAGAAATTGAGGAATAATACCTCTAAATTGATTCATAGCAAAGGAACGGAAATTGCATTTAGTTCCATGCCAATAATTAGGTAAAAAGTAAAATTATTCAAAAATTACCGTAATCGTAGAGCCCATCATAAATGCCGGTCGGAGAGAGGTATCCATCGGAACCTTGTCGGTGTTGGAGAGTAGAGCACCGATGATCGGAAACTGGGAACCAAAGCCAATTTAATTTGAAATACAAAGGCTCTGGGAGAGGCTCAAAGCAACGACAAGCGTTGAATCCAGAAGAATTAACAAATAACAGGGCTAATTGCTATTACTAAATAAAAAAATATGTGTTGTGAGTGGCTAAGGCATCTCTGCGTCGCCACCATTCTCGGCGCATTCTTCATCGTCACGCGCTATTTCTATTTCTCCGGCTACACCACCGGCGTCCCCCCAGAATCGGACAGAGCAGACAGAGCGAGATTTAACAAGCAAAGCGATTCCAGAAATTGTAAAAAGAATACGCATACCTTCCAATTGTTTGACCTTTGGCCTTTTGGCGACGTTGTAGAGGCCGCTACTGCCTGTCAATTGCTTCCCGTTGTGACGCCAATTGGTACTGCCTGCCGATTTCTGAACTATTTGGTTTGGATGATTTCCCCACATCATCTCAAAGTTTGAGTTGCATGATACAAACTGACTGTTGCTTGAGAGACTGTTTACTGACAAAGAATATATGAGAAACGATTGTGCCAGCTTCACTTCAACAACAATTCTTCTCAGCTAATCGAGAGACCTGGTTCATGAGAAATATAGAAAATCTCTTGTTTCTAGAGTGGCCTAACAAATGGGCAGGCTTCTTCTCCCAGATTGCTTGGTACATCTTGAAGACAAGAAATAAGCACCTTTTCCAAATTAAAACTCTCACTAGTGCCACTTGGATCAACTACGTTATATCAAAGGAAAGATAATGGAGCGGACTTGGGAGACGATGACTCTAAACATGACAGATAGTACTCGACAGTCTCACAGAGAACACTTGGGTTCGTTTGCTTCATCAGTTCGGAAAATGAAGGTTTTAGTAAAACTTGGATTTTGTAAAATCATGTATATATGAAGGTTTTGGGTTCATTATGGACTTGTATAATACCATTGTTTGTTTCATTGATTTCGTGATAGATTTGGTTAATTAGATTTGTGTGCAATAAGTGAAAATGACCTACATTACTCTCATTGGTATGAGATGAGAAAGATAAAAAGAGGGGTAGCTTGGTCATAAATGGACTTCAAAGTCCATGATCAAGTCCCACCTTAAGAGGTAGAATTTTCAAGTCCATGGGACCCACGGATTTGGACCCTTAAAGTCCATGGGACCCATGGATTTGTTGTCATCAAATACATGAAACAAACAATAGACTTTGGACAAAATCCATGATAGATCCAAATCCATCATCAAATTCATCACCAAATCCATCAAGCCAACGACCCCCCAAGATCAGCTAGACTACCCTGCCATTGGGCTGGTATAAGAGTAATACTGACTGTGCGGCCCAAGTAATCTTGGCTTAGCCACTGCTGGCGGAAGTCTCTGTGATTGCGATGGCGTCTGGATGGGGGGATATTACTACAAGATCGGCAGAGGGACGACGCTTCTTGCAGAGCTTTGGGGTATTTTTCATGTCTCGGCTGTACTTGGAAATGAGGAGTTCAGTTCTTGATTCTTGAGACAGACTCCAAACCGGCGCTGGAATTAATAAATAAAAAGAGATGGATGACCCGAACATTGATGGTTTGATTAATTCATACGTACCGTGAAGGAGCGTGTTGGAGATCGGAGCGTGGGGCGGAAGGAAGAAGGTTTTCGGGCATAAACAATTGGCGCGCCAGATAGGGGAATATAACCAACAAGACGCATGGAGGTTCTTGGGTTAGGCGAGAAGGAAGGCAGCGCCGAACCGGAGGAGCGCGGGACGCAAGAAACCAAGGAGGCGGAGGAGCATGACGGAGGAGGGAGTCCGAGGGTCGACGAGAGCGCACAGACGGAGGGCGCCCAACTCACAAAGGAGGAGTTGCTTCAAATCATCGAGAGTCAAGACCACGCCCTTGAGATCTTGAAGAAAGAGGTCGAGGCGCTCAAGAAGGACGGAGGCGACCCACCAACGCCTGGGTCGAAGAGGAGGGAGCGAGACGAAGGGGGTGATGGGGTGTCTAGCCTCGCAAGGCGCCGGGAGGAAATGGGGCACTTGACCCGGCACATGGAATCGGACTACGATGATTACACCGGTTGGGCGCAGAGACGTGCCGGGAGAGGCTGGGGAGTTCAGCAACCTTTGGCCGGGAGCATCCTGGCCGAGCAGCCGAGCTCAATTATACCCGCCCTGCCAAGCTATGATGGCACGACGGACCCGAAAGACCACCTGAACAATTACTTCACGAAGATGCAGTTATACAGCCGCACGGACCCCACGATGTGCCGTGCGTTCCCTTCCACATTCACGGGAGTGGTGTTGGATTGGTACCACCAGCTGGAGGAAGGGCGGATCGATTGCTTCGAGCACTTCGCCTCTTTGTTCCTGTCAAAATTTGTGAGCCGGAAGCGCAGGACCCTTACCATAAGCGCCTTGTTCAAGGTCCGCCAGAGAGAGAACGAGCCACTTAGGGAGTTTTACGAACGATTGATGTCGGTGACGATGGCGGTAAAGGATGTCAAGCCTCCCGTCTTGGGATGTTGCCTGGACGAATGCACGACCAGTGAAGAGCTGTGTTGGGCGCTTTCCAAGAGGGACGTGATGTCCACCGAAGACCTCGACAGAAGGGTGCAGAAGGTCATCATGCTAGAGGAAACACTTGCAGCCTGTCGATTCGAAAAGCGCAAGGGCAAAGCTGAGGAGGGCAAGGGTTACCGCGTGCAAGCGCCCCGCACCTTGACCACTAATGTGTTTCCTGCGCGTAGGATGGAGAACCCGAGACCTGTACCGAATAGCGCGGGAAACTTCACGGAGCTCAACGACACGTTGAAGAACGTACTACAATATGCGAAGGACAAAGGGTACCACCTGAGATGGCCCGGTCCTATGAGGGGGCGCCCAAACTAGCAAAACCTCGATAGATATTGCGAATTCCATCGGGAGCGGGGACATCACACCGCGGACTGCTACCAGCTGAAATCGAAGATCCAGGGGTTGGTGGACAGAGGTATGCTGAGTGAATTTGTAAACATATGGGACGAGAGGGCACAGCGGACGTTCGTGGCACGAGAAGCACAAGTAAAGGCGCCTCAAGCAGAGCACGTGCCGGTGGACGCCCGCCCCAAGGAAGAAGCTATCCCACCGCCGCCCCCGTTCGACGTAGAACTGGAGGCCAATCCAAGCCGCGTGAGACTGACCATCGAAGCCATCACCAGCTCCATGGACTTGAGGCAGAAGCTGGAGGAGAAGAAGCAACAGAAGTCAGCCACTGCAAGCGCGAGAGAAGCCATACAAATACGTTTTAACGATATGCCCGAAGAGGCATGCCGGACGCCCTCCACGGAGGAACTGGAAATCCAGGGCGTGGTGGCCGGATGCGAAGTCAAGAGGATGCTGGTTGACACGGGAAGTTCGATTGACGTGTTGTTTTTGTCCACGTTCGAAAAAATGCAACTGGCGCCCAGCATGGTGCAGCATGCGGACACAGTGATGATTGGGTTCTCGGGGGCGCCGGCTAAAGTGCTCGGGCGCGTGCGCCTCCCAGTAACGTTGGGTGACGAGGCACATTGTGTTACGCACACGGTGGACTTTGGCATAGTCTACTGTCCCTCGCCGTACAATGCAATCTTAGGGCGCCCCTTGCTGGCCCTCTTCAACGGGGTGGCCTCGTCTTGCCATCGGACACTGAAGTTTGTTACCTAGAGGGCAATGAAATATTAAGGGGCGAGGCATCCGCAGAGGCGCCACTCGCCAAAAGAAGCCGAATGTACAACATCGGCGTGCGCCCTGAGGACTTGCCAAGGGCCGAGGCGGTGGACGAGGAAATTCACGTGCCACTTGATGATCTGCGCCCTGACCGATGCGTTCGCATTTTGACACACACGGTGAGCGAAGAATTGGAGCCCCTGGTTCATCTGTTAAAGGAATTCGCAGACTTGTTCGCATGGAGCGCGAAGGAAATGCCCGGAGTAGGGGCGGAAATTGCGGAGCATCGTCTCGCTGTAGCGATGGGCGTGCGCCCCATTCAGCAAAAGAGGTGCCCGATCTCGTTGGAGAAAGAGGGGGTGCTGAGAAGGGAGGTGGAGAAGTAGCGAGAGGCGGGGTTCGTGGAGGAGGCCAAGTACACAACTTGGATGTCCAATGTCGTGGGGAGGATGTGTGTAGATTACACTAGCCTTAATCAAGTCTGTCCCTGAGACGCCTACCCCATGCCAAGAATCGACCAGCTGGTCGACGCAACTGTGTACCACGAGGCGCTCAGCTTCTTGGATATGTTTTCGGGGTACCACCAGATACCCATGTGCGAAGAGGACATGGATATAACAACATTCATGACCCCGTTCGGGAACTACCGCTACAGAGTGATGTCGTTTGGGCTGAAAAACGCAGGGGCCACATACCAGCGCATGGTGAACAAAATATTTCAACATCAGATCGGGCGAAATGTGGAGGCGTATGTAGATGACTTGGTGGTCAAGAGCAAGCGTAGGGGGGATCACTTGGCTGACCTGCGTGAGACCTTCCAGGCCCTGCGTGCCCATTCCCTACGCCTCAACCCTCTGAAATGCGTCTTCGGAGCGGAAGTTGGAATATTCTTGGGGTTCATGATCACTAAGCGTGGTATCGAGGCCAACCCCAAGCAAGTAGAAGCGATCAGGCGCCTCCAAACCCCCCGCACGCCTAATGAAGTGCAAAGTTTGAACGGGCGGCTGGCCGCTTTGGGGCGCTTCATACCCTGTTCGGATGACAAGGGTGCACCCTTCTTCCGCGTACTAAGGAAGGCCGCACGATTCAAGTGGACGGCGGAATGTGACGAGGCCTTCGAACAGTTAAAGACCCTGCTAACAACGCCTACCGTGATGACCGCACCAAAGAGGGAGGAGATGCTCTACCTATACATCGCGGTCTCCAGGATGGCGATTAGTGCGGTACTTGTCTCCAAGGAAGGAGAAAATGAGAGGAAAGGTCGGTGTACTAGTGAGCAAAGTGATGGCGGGAGCCGAGACTCGCTACGCGCCCATTGAGAAGGCAGGGCTGGCAGTCGTTACGGCGGCAGAGAAGTTGCGTCCCTACTTCCAGGCGCATCCGGTGACGGTCATCACAAACTTTTAGTTAAGAAACACGTTGGGGTCCATGGATGTGGCAGGGCGCATGGTCAAATGGGCGGTGCAGCTGAGCGAGTATAACATAAGTTATGCGCCCCGCCCCGCGATAAAAGCACAAGTTTTGGCGGAGTTCGTGGCCGAGGGGGTGTTGTGCGCGGGAGAAGGCGCTGTGAAAGTTTGGCAAGTCTATTTGGACGGCGCAACGAGTAAGACGAGCGCCGGAGCGAGGGTAGTAGTAGTGAGCCCTTTGGGGGCAATGCATGAGTTAGCCCTGCGCTTTTCAACTCTGAGCTCCTACGTGACTATGGTCAGGGCAAAAGGCGCATGGTTTAAGAAAGTGAAATTCCTACATGTTCCCAGGGAAGAGAACACCCATGCGGATGCTCTCTCCAAACTAGCTACGGCAACCGACTTTGACGAAGATAGGCAAGTCATCGTCACCAAGGAACATCCCGTGCGCGAGCCGATCATAGGGGTAATCACTGAAGATGCAGAGGGGGCAGGAAGTTGGATGGCTCCAATCAGAGCGTACTTGGTCCAAGGGGTCCTTCCAGAAAACGACAGGGAGGAATGGCAAGTGAGGCGCAAGGCTGCGCGTTGCACATTAATCAATGGCCAGATGTATAAGCGGTCGCACTCGGGTCTCTACTTAAGGTGCCTTACCAGGGCGGAAGGGAAGCATGCAATTAAGGAGGTCCATCAAGGGTCGTGCGGCATGCACGCGGGGGCGCGCAGCCTGGAGAAAATCCTGTTGAGGCGGGGATACTACTGGCCAACCATCCGGGCGGATGCGACGAAACATGTTGCCACCTGCCACCAATTTCAGATACATGCCAACGACATTCACATTCCAGCATCGCCTATGCAGGGAATGTGGATGCATGTCCGTTCTCGCAATGAGGTATGGACTTACTGGGACCATTCCCCAAAGCGCCTGGACAAATGAAGTATCTGATAATGGCAGTGGACTATTTCTCCAAGTGGATTGAAGCTGAGCCCCTTGCATCGATCATGCAGGCGCAGGTGCGTCGATTTACAAACAGGAACATCTTCACTCGGTTTGGTCTGCCAGAGGCAATAATAACTGATCATGGGAAGCAATTCGATTGCAAGCAGTTTATTGACTTTTGTGATGAGAAGGGGGTGATCTTGCGCTTCTCATCGGTAGCATATCATCAAGCGAACGGACAGACAGAGGCCGCCAACAAGTGCATACTGCATGGACTGCACACGAGACTCTTGGAGGCAAAGGGTAGATGGGTCGAGGAGCTCCCAAGCGTGTTGTGGGCGCATCGAAGGATATACAAGGTGGCAACAGGGGAATCCCCGTTTGCGCTTACATATGGAAGCGAGGTGGTCATCCCGGTGGAATTGAGCATGCCCACTTTCGGGCTGGCAAACTACGAGGGAGAGCGCATACACGACCTGGACATGCTCGAGGAGCGGCGCGATGTTGCCTCCATCCGCCTGAAAGCCATGAAACAGCAAGTGGCCAAGTACTACAACCGGAAGATTGGCCCCCGTAAGATAAAGCGTGGGAGCCTAGTGTTGAAAAGAGACTTCAGGCCTAAACCCAGTGATGGAAAGCTTGCACCCAAGTGGAGGGGGCCTTATCGTGTTCGCAAGGTAGTGGGGCCTGCCACGTTCAAGCTGGAGCGCATGGGAGGCAAGAGCGTCAAGCATACGTGGAATGCGCAGAATCTCCATGTTTACCATGGTAAAGAGGATGGAGAGATGCCAGAGTAGGCGTGGGTAGTAAGTGTGAGCAGGCGCGAAAGTTTTTGTGGGAGATACGTTGCGCCTTGCATGGTGCGTGTTTTTGTGTAAGGGATAGACAAAAGTGTCTAGTGCGTAAAGCGCCCTAATCGAGTTGTGCCCGTACTCTTATTTAATTAGTAATTCCAAAAGTGCCCTCCCAATTAGGCCCTATGTTTGCGAATCGTAATTTCAAAAGCGTCCTCTTAATCGCGCACTGCAGTTATGAGTAGTAAGTCCATAAGCGCCCTCCCAATTGCACCCTATATTCGCGAATCGTAATGAACAAAGCGCCCTCTCAATAACGCCTTACATTTATGAATAGTAATTCCAAAAGCGCCATCCCACTTGCGCCCTATGTTTAGGAAACGTAAAACATAAAGCGCCCTACCGATTTGCGCCCACAAGATCAAAGGTAAGTACCAAGCGCCCTAGCTATTTACACCTAAAAGACGATTCATGAAAGGTTTCACGACTTATTTGCGCCCACAAGATCAGAGGCAGGCATAAGGCTCCTCGATAACATGCACAATTGGAAGGAAATAAACAATCACTGCAGGATAATCAAGTTCATAGTCAGAAAGGGCAAAAATGGCTCACAGTCGGCACATGCGCCTTACACAAATTGAAAGGGGAAACACATCAATCTTCCACATCGACCTCCTCCTCATCTGCCTCCCCTTCGCCCCCGCCGCCTCACTCGTTGGGCGCAGCACCATCCGCAGGTGAAGGCACCCTGACATCCGCATCCGCACCACCTCCGTCTGAGGCGCCCGCACCGGAGGCGCCCGACTGGTTCTCCATGTACGACACAACGTGCTCAATAAGAGAAATTGCCTCAAACGCCACGTCCGGATAGTCGGCTTGAAACTTGGCCTTCAGCACCTCCATGGTGTCGATCACAACATTCGCTTTAAGATTCTTGCCAGAATTCGAGTCCGAATAGTTGGCCAAATCTTGGTCCAGCTGTTGCGCGACAGCTTGGGACTTCTTCAGTTCGTGCTTGTAGTGCGTCCGGGACTTCCTCTGTTTTCGGTTGGCCTCCTCCAGGTCGTCGATGGTCTGGCGGAGCACGCTCTTTTCCTACAGTAAAGCGCCGCGCTCTTGCGCAATCGCAACGTTCCCCTCACGGAGCTCCTTCTTCTCCCCTTCCCATTTGGCCTTATCTGCCTCTGCCTGCGCCTTGGATTCCTCCTCCACCTCCGTGCGCGTTTTGAGGCGCTCAGCAGCTAACTTTGCCTCCTGATCGGACTTAGCAGCGTCCAGGTCTGCCCGCATGCGCTCAGCAGAGACAGAGGCGTTTGTGCCCTCTTGCGCAATCTTGGCAATCTCACGCGTGGTGGCCTCACAGAGGAGCATCATCTGGGGCGCACAAGCACAACGAACCAAACAGTTAGGCACATAGAACCGAGACATTAATAATCAAAGGGAAGAGGCGTGTGCCTCGTCACAAAGGTGTTACCTGGATGCTCATGTTGGTCAACTTCAGCCAAGGCTTGGCGATGATCAGGCCATTCGGATGCTCCACTACATCGTAGTGCGCCTTCGCCATCTGCATAGAGGTAGGAACTTCCTTGGCCGCCTTGACAGGAACGTCCACCGGCACCTTGACATGAGGGCGCCTCGGCTGGAAGTAGGGGAATCACTTGACCAGTGTGTTCCCCGATAGTTGGCTCCACAAAACTCTACGATAGACCGGTTTCGCTAGTAGTGGCAGTCTTGGACTTCTTGCCTTGACCGCGAAGAGCATCACCCGCCCTCTTACGAGATGCGGCGGAGGACGGGGAAGGGGGAGTGCTTACCCCAGTGGTCTCCCGGAGCGTGGTAGAGGAAGATCGAGGGGAGGTGGTCGAGGCACGGTGCTCCGCTTGTTGCGAGCTTTGGCCGGCCGCTTCGCTGTCGGAGCCTGCCTGCAGCGTGGAGGCGTTATGCGCTCCCGATGAAGTGCCTGCGGCCGTTGGGCGCGACACTCTCCTTTGCTCCACCCTCTGCGCCCGAGGGGCTCGGCGGGGAGGGGCGCCCTGGCCGCTTTGCACGTTGCGAAGAAGGTCGAGCTTGGACCTGATCAGGTTAGTCACCGAAGTGAAGTCGGTTCCTGCATAAATCGAAAGAACAAAGGCGCATGAGCAACATGTTAATAGCGTTAGTAAAACACAAAAGTACAAAAGGGGGCGCATAGTATTAGTAAAACACACAAGCATAAAAGGGGCGCATAGCCAGTACCATCGCCATAAAATTCCTCGAGGACGCGAGCATATTCATCTCCTGACTCGAGGTCAATGGGATGGGCGGATATGCACTTAGCCATAGCCTCCTCAGTCTGGCTAAGGGGCTCCACCTTGTTAAAATCGAAGCGGTTCCCCAAGGACTATTCTGAGCTGACAGGGCTCCCGCTCTCAAAGAAAGGAACTTCGCGGGGTTTGACGAAGAAGTAGGAGTCAAACCATGTGCTCCCCATTTTCACGCAGCTACTGATGAAACCATACCCCAGCGCCATGCGCTTTTGCAAAATCAGGCAGTTGCCAGTCTTGAGCATTTTGATAAAGTGTTTGAAGAGTTTAAAAGTAGGGGGAACGTGGTGTCGTTGACATTGGTAACGAAAAACGATGGTGTATAATACTACGGAGGGCGAGAGGCGCCCGAGGGGACACTGGCAAGATGTCATGACGCCTTCAAGGACTGGCTAAATCGGGAAGCGCAAGCCAAACCGGATGTATTCTTTGTATAGGCCCACCCACCCCTCACCGCACAGGCCAATGCGAGCCTGTGGAGGCGCATGGATGTAATGCCAAGGCGCGGGTAGTTGCGCACACACGACCAGCTTTTCTAGCCTCGCCCCCAACTGTTTCGAGGCGTGACGAGGACCGGCGTCTTCCACGGGAATCCTCGAAGTGTCCTGAGGCGCATAACCGGGAGGCCACATCGAGTCCTAGGGTCGGAACATGTAGTCTCGAGGCGCGGGTGGGCCTGAGTAAAAGGAAGGGGCAAGGGTAAGGCAGAGAGTGGAAGGGAGGCACGACGCCTTTAAAATAAATAAAAAATAAAAAAGGTGCGCAGGTCAGAAAGGTGTTTGAGGACGCATGAATCCTATGTTCGCATTAAAGAGGGTCTAGGATCAGGCATAGAAGAGGGGTGCATAGCAACAAGGGAGAAGGCGCATGGTAGATGAGGGACTTACTAGGGGAAGCGACGGAAACGGCGGCCTGGCCGTCGGCAGGCGCCTGGGATCCAGAAGGCGCATGAAGTGTGGGAGGCGCATCTGTTCGGTGGAAGGCGTGGGCGAGTTGGGATGGAGAGGGATTTGTCGAGAAGACGCCATGGCACACTTGGAGGCGCGCGCTGAGTCGGTCGAGAAGCAGAGAAGTCGAGAGGCAGAGCAGTCGAGAGGAGCGAGGGTTAGAGAGAGGAAGTAGTGAGAGGATGAAAGTGAAGTTATGAGAGCTAGGAAGGAGGAGGGGGTTTATAAGGAGGTCCAAGCGAGAGGGGAGAGAGAGAGAGAGAGGAGAAAGGCGAAGAGGCCTCACCAATCCGCTCCTGATTTCGAAATTTGAATTTCGAATCTCGAGCCGATTGGGGGGAGAGAGATAGTGAGAATCACAGGGGGCATGATGACACAGGAAGAAAGGGGGAAGAGGAACGGTCGCGTGAAAAAGGGAAAAGAAAAAAAATAAAGAAATGATATAATAAATGCATAATAGGAGAGAGAAAAGAATGTGGGTAAATAAAAGGAAAAGGAAAAGGGGGAAAGAAGTGAGATGAAAAAGCGCATGAAAGATGAACGCACAGCGGAACGAGGAGAGGGAGCACGCGGGTCGATTCGCACGGAGTGAGGCGCATGCACAATGGGAGATATCGGGAGCGAACGAAGTGCCAAAGAGAGCGTAGGGCGCATGCATAGCGAAGAAAGGAGGGTCACTCAAACGCCAATCTGGGAGGCGCATGAAGGCAGGCACTGATGCGGAGAAGAGGGTGAATGCAGGCAGGCTCCTAATTGTGGGCGTTAGGCGCCTAGCTGGGGGCAATTGTTGAGGGAATGAGTATGGGCCAGGGACCAACCCAAGAAGGAAGGCCCGAAGAAGGTGGGAGAGGCACAGACGTGGGCCACCCAGGGCCCAATCACTGAGACCCAAAGCCTATGAGGGCTATGGCCTGGGTGGCCAGGGTGGCGCGTGAGACAGGTGGGACCAGTCACCTCGCAAGAGGCTCATGGGACAAAAGATACTCAACGGTCGGAAGTGTACAAAAAGCTGGCCACGTGATGTCATGCGCCTCAAACCTACGACCAAAGTGTCAGGTGGCCGAGGCGCATGCTCAAGGGTTGTACGACACATTTATGGCGGACCTGACACAGGGCGAGAGCGACGGGTACCGGTCGATCTCGCCTTGGGTATAAATAGTGAAGTGGGTGAACCTCATTTACTCAACTTAGCTTCTCTTACTAGAACTGTTCTCTACTTCTCTCTCTAAAAAAGTAGGGTTCTCACTTGGGCGTCGGAGTGCTAATGGATCTGCCTGGTCCGCTAGGTGCTCGTGTGTGCAGGTAGGCGGGTAAAAGGAGGGTGTTGGAGATCGGAGCGTGGGGCGGAAGGAAGAAGGTTTCCGGGCATAAACAGTTAGGATCTTGAGGGAAGACATGATCGGCATAAGATTCCCTCGTATGATCATTCCAAACTAGGGAAATCTTCATGACTTTCTATTTTCGATTATCTAGCTAGTGTGGCAGGGTACTGCCATATGTGGTTGTGCAGTTTAACTGGGTTCCCCAGTTTTGTACTTGACACCTTTGACTTAACCGCCTCTTTCTTAATAATTTTTTTTTATTTACTCCCTAATGATCAATGTAGTAAAAAAAGTTAGTTTTCAATTATTAAAGGTTAGGCTTTTACGCTTTGAACCTCCCAAATACTTTAGTTGTCATTTCAAAAGCATTTTTCACCAAAAGCCCACAAAAGTCAAAATAAAAGCGCTCAAGCGTGGTAAAATCCTTAGAAGCTAGTTTTTAAACAACATTTTAGCCTTTTGATATCCGGGTTTTAGGACCTTATTGGATTGGATTGGGGACGGTTTGCAAGTTAAAAAATTCCTAATCCATCCTCACTATCTCCATTCATAGCTTTGTCTCTACCTCCAAAACTAGCACACGACAACTCCAACTTGACCCCTGTGATTGTGCACCATTGAAACTCCTTCTCCTCCATCCTATCACTTGTTTCCGCTTTAACTAGTTAGTGAAGTTTGTCGACAATCATTCTAGCTTTATCATTTGTCGCTGGTTTCATTTGCATTTTTTCTCGAAAGCAACACGAAGGTGGTGAATGCTTGTGTAAGATTCTATTAATGTAGTTTATGTGCGTGAGAGTTATATTTTAATATGAGCTGATTCATTCATTTTTTTTATGAATACAAGTTATAATTACAAAATTTATTTCAAATTTATAGAATGTGTCAAAGTTTATGCTTTTGCGCTTTACGTTCACTTTTACTCATCATTTTGTTTCTACGTATAAGATACCAAAAAGTTATTTCACAAGCAAATCTCTTTCATGTGCATTCTAAAATTAAAATTTTAAATATAAGTCTATAAATATTGATGGAAAATTACATTTTGGTATCTTAATTTTTTTCTTCTTACGTTTTTATATCTGAATTTTTAAAATTTACAAATACGTCAATTATTAGGAAACTTGTGGTATGTTTTTATGAGACTTGTGGTGTATTTTTATGAGACTTGTTGTCTTGTTTAAAAAACTTGTGGTATGCTTTTATCAACTTGTAGTGTGGTGAGGTTGTGAGCTCTTTTCTAAGGTTTGTGGCGCTTTGATAAACTTATGGTATGCTTCATGGAACTTGTGATCTGCTTTAAGAAACTCGTGAGATGCTTTTATAAACTTGTGTTGTGGTGATGTTGTGGTCTCCTTTTTAAGGTCTGTGGTCTTTGTTTGGTGGTCTGGCCCCTCGCCTATTTCCCATTTAATGCCAAGATACCATGGTCTCCCCCCCTTATATCAATTTTTCATAATACCAAGTGTACTACTCCACCCCTTTCCATCATTAATTGTGGTCAACTCATTTAAATTAAAAAGTCATCATAACGAAATTTATTTGCTGGAGCTAGTGTTAGCATCCTAACTCTTCTCCTTTGAGTGACCCAAATAGATGCGAGTAGGGGTGGGAAACGGGACGGGATACCCGCCCTGTTTGAAACGGGTACCCATACCCGTTTGGAGACCAAAGTTCATCCCATATCTCAAACCGTATGGGTAAATGGGTACCCATTACCCGTACGGGACGGATAACGGGTACCCATACTACCCATACCCAAAATTTGAATCACTGGAATTTTAACAAAAGTTTAAACTTAACTTGTACTTGCTTAATAATCACAAATTCCATCCCAATCACACCATTACAAATACTCAATTTGCAAACTACACATTCATGAACAATCACAACGCATAGAAATAAAACATTCCATAAGCCATAACAACTAAGAAGGAAGTTGTTGACTGTTGCTGTTATGTTTCAAATAAGATCCATTCGACACAACCTACTAGGGAGGCATGTTGCTGCTATTCTGGCTTCTGCTAGCTGTTGTTGTTCTACAAGCTGCCTGATCATAATCACAAAGGAAAGGCAGCAGAGTGAGAAGGCGGTGAATTCATCAATTCCAACTAGTTTGACCGGAACCATTTCAACTTCAGTAAAAGTACCAAACAATAAACAACAAATAACCTTTATTCGACACAACAAACAAACTTGAGGCCAGTGTAGTTTAGTGTAGCGGCTGCCTTTATTTTTAATTATTCCTGAGGGTATTATACCAATTTAAAAATCCCAAGTATTTTGAATGGGGATAACGGGTACTCATATTACTCAAACAAGTATCTGCGAGTAACTCGCGGGTACCCATATTAGGAATGTACAATCCCAAGTCTCATCCGTTAATACTATTATGGGTGATATGGGTACCCATAATACTCGAAACACGGGACGAGTACAGGTATACCCAAACAAGGTTCAAAAAGGCGTTAGGCGTAAGGCAGGCGTTGAGGCTTTGCCTAGCGCCTAGCTCGCCTAGGCGTAGATTATGCGTGCCTAGGCGTTGGAAGAAAAAATAACTATTCGCACTATATGACTAATGAAATAATAATCTACAACACTTCTTCACTTCATTTAAAATGATTAATAACTTACTCAACACTTAATGACAAGAACATAGCTCACGAATTCATAGAATCATAGCTCAATAGTTCACAAAGTTCTTGAGATATTGAAAATAGTGATATAGAAATTTGATTTCGTGGTTGATGTTAATTTTCTCCTTTAATATTGATTTCGTAGGAGAGACTTATATGTCACCTTACTTCATTAACGTGTTTCAGTATCTTATTAGGCGCGAAACCTCTAGGCGTGGCGTTTTGCAATTGCCTTACGCCTAGGCCTGCCTAAGCGTAAGGTTAAGCGTGCCTTTTTGAACCATGTACCCAAATACTCGTTTCCCGTTGCCCACCCTAGATGCGAGATGATCAAAGTGTTGGATAATTACCCTCAAAAGGCATGATCTTTTGGGTCTTCCATATGTGGCAAAAATATTACATAATCAAAGGATTCGATTAATGAAGTCAAGTCCTTAAGCTGAAGAGTGAAGAGCCATGGCTGTGTGGCGGGCCCAAATATTATAGGGGAGTCCTCTTTTGAAATTATAATAATAATTAAAAAATAAAAAATATAATTTTAATTAAAATATCACACTAATACAAGTTACGAAGAAATAACATGTGTTTTCATATTCTGAAAAAATTATAAAATAGACTAAGTCACGGTGGTACTTAACAAAAAAAATTCAATATATCATATTAGATAATCACTCACGAGCTGATTGACTATTTGATTTTGACACTTATTATTGATGTAGCCTAAACTGGAAAAACATTTTTCAACACTTCCAGTTGCAAATGATAAAATCAATACAATTTTGATAAACAAATAGTCCAATGAATATGATAGTCACTTGTGCTTCACCATAAACTAAACTAATTCATCAATTCCTTTTAATCCAAGGAATGACTCGTCATTCTTGACACAATGATAATAATTCTCAAAGTGTCGTAGACGAAATGAGTAAAAAAGATGATCAAACTCATTTGGCTGGCGAGACTTGTTTGTTTCTCCTTGTCAAAAGCAACAAACTCGTTCTCCGGGCTAAACAAGTCATACAAGTTAATAACCTAGTATTCACCTCATCAAAGAGAGAGTTCAACCCTTGCAGTTGCATATCAAGAACTAAGTAAAACAATTCAACCTGATAGTGAAGGAAGTTCCATCAATATAATAGAAGTGGGAAGTTGACATTTTAGAGTTTGGATGAAACATTGGGGAATTGGGTTTAATTGGACTTTCTTTTAGATTATCATTGCATTTATGTTTTGAAAACAACAACAAATGGTTTGTAGTGTAATGTATAATATTTTCTCTAATAATTCTAGTGTTGGAAGTTTGATTTATAAATACTACTATCTATTTACTTTTCACCTAAGCTCAAACTATTGTTAGAAGGTTGATAATTTTTTACTGAAATTTTAAGGATGTCTCGAGCACTCTTGAAGAATCATAGATCCGCCATTACACTCTATAATCAAACAACTACTAGGGATCAATCATTCTCTCCAAATTTTTGTGACAGATACTTT